TATTCAACATGGTGCTCAGTTACGAGTGGTGTACCACAAGGATCTATGCTGGGTCCTCTTCTATTTGTGATTTTTGTAAATGATTTGGATGAAGGAGTGGAAGGGTGGATTAGTAAGTTTGCAGACAATACAAAGGTGGGTCGCGTTGTGGACAGTGTGGAGGGCTGTTCTAGGTTACAAAGGGACATTGATAGGATGCAGAGCTGGGCTGAGAAGTGGCAGATGGAGTTTAACCCTGAAAAGTGTGAAATGATTCATTTTGGAAGGAAAAACTTGAAAGCAGAATACAGGGTTAACGGAAAGATTCTTGGCAGTGTGGAGGAGCAGAGGGATTTAGGTGTTCATGCCCACAGTTCCTTGAAAGCTGCCACCCAGGTGGATAATTTGTTAAGAAGGCGTATGGTGTGTTAGCTTTCATTAATAGAGGGATTGAGTTCAAGAGCCGTGAAGTTATGCTCCAGCTATACAAAAGCCTGGTTCGGCCACATCTGGAGTATTGTGTCCAGTTCTGGTTGCCTCATTACAGGAAAGATGTGGAAGCATTGGAAAAGGTACAGAGGAGATTTACCAGGATGTTGCCTGGAATGGAGGGAAGGTCTTACGAGGAAAGGTTGAGAGAGCTAGGGCTTTTCTCTTTAGAATGAAGAAGGAGGAGAGGTGACTTGATAGAGGTGTACAAAATGATCAGAGGTATAGATAGAGTAGACAGCCAGAGACTTTTTCCTAGGGTGGAGGTAGTTATTACGAGGGGACATAGTTTTAAAGTGAGTGGAGGTAGATATAGGTGAGACGTCAGAGGTAAGTTCTTTACTCAGAGAGTGGTAGAGGCGTGGAATGCATTGCCGGAGAGGGTAGTGGTTTCGGCCTCATTAGGGGCATTTAAGTGGCTATTAGATAGGCATACGGATGATAGTATAAGGTAGGGGTGGAGGTTAGATAGACCTTAGAATTAGGGTAAAAGTTCGGCACAACATCGTGGGCTGAAGGGCCTGTACTGTTCTATGTATTACTGACGAATACTGAACGGTGGGGACCGCAACTGCTCTGTAGCCCATGAGCTTGGTGTTAGGTTTGCGTTCTCGGGCTTTGAACACTCTTGTTCCTCAGGCACCTGAAGGCTGCACTGGAGTTGATTTCATTGTCAATGTTTACTTGCACCAAGAGGAAGTTCCTGAGGTAGAGAATTGATACACATACGTACTCATTCATAATAAGCAGGTTCTGAGGAAGGGTCACCGGACCCGAAATGTTAACTTTGTTTTTGTTCATAATAAGCAGAAACTGCATTGTTTCAATTTGTTAGCACAGGCCCACGTGATGCTTGTTGTTTCTTGCCATCATTTTTCTAGCGTTTGACATGGTCACTAACTCCATTTGGTTCATTCTCCAGCTGAGTAAGATTGTGTTTGCTTATTAACTTAAAGAAGTGCTGTGTCCCTTTCCTACTTGTTTTTATTTATTCATGTGATGTGGGCATTGTTGGCTCAGTCAGTATTTATTGTCCATCTCTACTTGCTCAACAGGAGGCAATGGTTAGGTTCTATTTTTGGAATTAGTCATTGCCTGACACTTGAGAGCTGAATAACAATTTGTGCCATACATCAACATGCCTGGATATTGTCTAGATTTTGCTGTATAAAGAAATGGACTGCATAATATCCAAGAAGGTGCTGAATATTGCAGTCGCCAGCAAACATCACACTTCTGACCTTCTGCTGAAAGGAAAGTCATTATGAAATAGCTGAAGCTAGTTCGGTACAGCACACTATCCTACAGAAATATAACTCCAATTAATGATTCCTAGCTAAATTAGACAAAATTTGGTCATTACATCTTACACCAGATTAAATTTTTGAATTTGCTCCAGCGCTAACAGCTTTCCAATACCACAATGCTACAGCATACTTTAAAGCCTTGTAACCCAGAATTCATTCTCTGCCCAGTCATTCAAATCATGCATTGTTACATTATCGGTGGTACTGCTTTCAATATTGAATCCTTACCAATGAAATTTCCTTCAAATACCCACCCTCCCATCAAGAACTAATTTATTCTTTTCTTTTCAACATCTTTGCATTCCAACTCATTTTGACATTTTGCCCTAACAGTGATTGCTCGTCGTTGTACATAGGTGAAGGGTCTGAAAAGGTTTGTATAGAGGAGTGCCCTAGGCAAGATCCACTGAGGTGATGTCATGTGAACTTTGGGGAAGAACAGTTTAGGATCTTGAATGAGTAAGACATAACACCTAGGTCTTCCTTATTGAGACTTCCACATCAATGCAACTTGTATTTAGTTGTTAATACACAAACTACTCTTGTTCAATACCTCTTGAGTTAGGAAGCCCAGGTTCAAGTCCCACCTGCTCCATAGGTATGACATAACATCTCCGAACAGGTTAATTAAAAAATGTCAGACCAGTAAGTGGTTTTCCTCTACCACACTAGACCAAAACAGGCCTCCAGCTCTCTGTACTTAAAAATGATGGTGGCAGTAAATATACTCCATGGTGACGTGCAGACTTGGTTTGACTAAATACATCATTCCTGTCCACCTGTAATGTGCTCTGTATCTCTTTGTAATGAGAGGAGTGCTTTAACAATTTCCATGAGTACACCAAGCTTATGAACTCTGCACCTTTATTCTCTGCCCAACTAAGATAAGCTCAGAATAGGTTAATCACATCTTGGAAATAATTGTTCTTGCCCATTTTCCAGTTAGAGAACAGGTGAGTTGTTCACCATGCATTATTACCTGAGACAACACAAAATCACATCATTAAATACAGTAGATAATACTTTGCTCTACATTTATTTACAGAAATACACAAAGATACAGGAAATCTATTAAAAACAGTATTTTTAAGAACAATCTGTTTGGGCTAATAGATCCCTTAGAGAAAGTTGACTTTTCAAACAGGTGCTTGAAATGTGACCATCCCTTCTGACCAATCAGAAGAATTTTTAAGTTTTCTAAGTCTTTCGAGATGAGATGATAGCTATGGGGGTATGGTCAGAACTTAAAACTAGCAGTTGGAACCATCAAAGTTATGAAACAACTTCCATGCAGAGCCATTTTTTTTCTGCAGTTATTAAGCAATTAAATGTCAAGTCTTCATATCTTGGTTGAGATTGGAATAAGGGCCTGCACTAATTGACATTTCTTCTGCACATTTCTCTCAGACCAGTCATCAGCTCACACGGAAGTTAGAAAGTACAGAATGTTAACTAACATTTCAAAAAAGCTGCTGTCAGAAGAAAATATTTATTTAATTTGTGATTAGGAACCTGGTGCATGTGGTTAAGAGATTCTTGTCACTTATATTTACATAAAAAGAAAATCTTAAATCCTAACTGCTTGAAATTAAATAAAACTGAGATGAATGCCTATTTTAAAAATTCAGATGCTTCATCATGATATGACTATTTGATTACGCATTCCCATAACCAGCTCTCTAAAGTAATATTAGTTTCTCATTTATTATCCAAGGTGGAAAAAGATGTAGTAACATTTCTATTTCTAATCTGCAATTCTATTCAACAGATATTTTCTCTGCTCCCTTTGGAGGCATCAGTCAATCCCAGGCCAGCATGTGTATTTTGAATGTGTTGTCAAGTCAATTAAGTTGCACATTTTTATACGCGGACTCTGGATTGAACAAGCTTGATTAGACAAGCGAGTTCAGACTGCCTAATATGCAGGAAATGTACTTACATTGGCAGGTGAAATTTACATACACTACTTTAAAGTCTAGCTGCAAAATGTAAATAATCTTAATTTGTGTATTTTAATGTGGAGCTTAGCAAAACCTAAATACAAGACCTTTTTAAAAATTAATTTGAACTGCTTTATTGTGAATTTGGATTATCGAAATTAACTATTGGAGGCAAATCTGTATGGCCAGATGAACTATATACAACTAGCCTTGAGAAATTTATGACATTCTTTATTCATAATATTTTAAAAAATAATCAAAACCCTCTCCCTTTCCTACATCTAGCTATGCTTACTGGCAAGGATAGACTCAATCACCTTTAATCCCAGTCAGGAACTGATCGGGGAAGGCACAACAGCAGTCATCTTATGAACATTCATATACCAATTGTTTGGTGCTGCTGTGAAAGTAAAATGAAATAAACTGAGTGAGTGGAAAAGTACTTATCTCATGCTCTACCATAGTGGTTCACAATGTTTAGGGCTTGTGACATTTTAAAATCATATTGGGCACTGTTAATAGATGTTATGCAAAGTGCAGCCTGTTTAAATTTCTTAACCAGTAAATCATTTTAGTAACCACCTCACCAACTGCTTCCATTTTAATTTGCAGGAATTAGTAAGGAATTTATGTCTCAGTTAACATCCTCCTTGAAGTGTTCAGTTAATTGTAACTTTTATATAAAGAGACACTGGATAAAAATTATTAAACAAATGAAAACTTTATAATTTAATGACTTATTTTTCCCATTAAGAATGAATATGGAATTTAAAAAAAAATTAGTGCATCCTCAACTCAACTGGTTGCATTAGTTAAATGTGATACTTGTTGCTTTCTTTTTGGAAATGGGTTCAGGCTGCTCTTAGAAGAAATGCAAACTGTTTCTGCAACATGCTGTTGTGCTTTTAATTTACCCAAAACCTAGCAGCATGGCGAGTGGGTGTGAAGTATGTCGGCAGACAACTTTTTCCACATGGGCATTAAATCTGACTATATCCTCCACTAGCATCCATAACACAATTCCTCCATAATCTGCACTCTTGTGGAGTCACTGGGTTAAGAACAGGAGTGAATGGCCTGGCTAATTTCCCCCTTTCATAATCAAGAGAATTGCTTTTAGAATATTGCCCAAAATGTTTCTCTCCTTTTAAATGTGAAAAAAAAGGATCAAGCTGTAAAACTTGTATATATTGTAAAGCAATTACTCATCATATAATGCATCATAATGTTTAGAGGCCTCCATTTTCTCACACAGCATGAAAAGTGCAAGCACATTTATAAAATGCTCAGGCAATAAACTAAAAATCATCACTGTAGACAACAGGAATTAAACACAGGCTGAGGAACTGTCAAGTTTAAATCGGAATCAATATCATTTCATTTATAATATAAACTCATTACAAAACACTTAAAAACTTGCTGTATATATTTTATACATGTATGTACATTTTCCATGCATTTAAAACCATTAACAAAAACAACCTGAACGTTTAAAATATTTAACTGGATGACAAATGTAATTCCAGCATCCAAATTCACCAAGACTGTTCAGTCTTTATAGATGCAAATTAAGTACTTCAATTTCAGGAAGTTTAGTTTTATTATAAATTAAAAGCTATTCAGTAACTGAAAAATAGTAATCTTCATCCTCTGTGTCATCATCTGATTGAGCATCTTCTCTATTCTTGAATATTTTTCCTATGTTAGATTTCTGTGCACCTGAAAAATACAGTTAAATTTCAAAAGCTATTGCAACTAGCACAACATTGTGTCTGTAGAGCTATACAACTATTAATCTGAGAGTTGGAGGTACAATGGACCCAAGGCCTTCACTTATCCAAAAGTCGGAGAGGCAGCAGACCTGCCAGTAAACAGTCTGGAGTGGGAGAATAGAATTTGGCTTTGATTTTATTGTCATGTGTATATTACAGTAAGAATACAGTGAAAAGCAATCAAGAGAAAAGTTTCAGGCTTTCACTTTCTGTAATTTGGAGAGAAACATTCGCTCACAAACACACACTGGCAGTAACTGGGAACCAGTGCATGCCAAGTTTTAAAAAATCCGTGGTGTTGCAACTAAGGCATAAGCTGATTGTGTGGTGAATTTCTAGCGCAAGTGTCGATTTGCAATGAGCAAGGTTCACTGAGCCAGTTGGTAAATAATTTTACTTTCTAGTTTCTGTTTTAATTATATAGTCTGAAAGTAAGCTTAAGACATGGCTAAACATGGAATGCTTATCCTGCGCCATTTGGGGAGTCATGTTGCATCCCATGCCTAGATAATCTCACGTCTCTAGTTGCAAAGCTTTGAGCTTCGGGTTTTACAACTTGATCAGAGGTTGGTGACACTATGCTGCATCCAGAAAACTGAGAATGATGGATAGCACGTTTAACAAAGCCGTCACACTGCAGATTAAGTGAAAGTAATCAGAGGGGTAATGGAGGGGTAATTTATGGCCTATCCTGGTGAACTTATTTCCAAGTCAGGATGGTGAGTGGCTTGGAGATAGTGTTCCCATGTATCTGCTGCCCTTGTCCTTCTAGATGGAAGTGGTAGCGGATTTGTCCTGGATGGTGTCAAGCTTCTCAAGTGTTATTGGCGTTGCATCCATCCAAGAAACTGAGGAGTATTCCATCACACTCCTGACTTGTTCCTTATGGATGGTGGTTAGGCTTTGTAACTCCCCAAAGTACTGGGTTGCTCACTGCAGTATTCCTAGCCTCTGACCTGTTCTTGTAGCCAACATGTTTATGTGGCGAGTGGGAAGGGTAATCGTTCTTGGTAGTTTGTAGCAGGAGCAAATTTGTGACACAAATGGATCAGCTTCACAGGTAGTAGGAGCTGGGGAGTAGAGTGGGAAGGCAATAGTGATAGGTGAGTTGACAGGTTTCCAGACAGGCATTTCCATAGCTGTAGATGTGATTCCAGGATGGTGAACAGCACGTAGCAATGATTATTGGTAGGAGTAGTTCATGGGTCAAACAGTAAGGGTAACATGGGTCAAGGTATAAAGCCACAGGCTATTTTAGGTCTAGTATTATGCAAAGGAAAGGACTAACTAATAATCTTCTTGCAAAAGAATCTTACAGAAAAAGTTACTATAGTATTGTTAGAACTTTATTTTAAACAGTTGAAACCAGAGCCTAAAATTTTTTTAAAAAGATGGTATGTTGTTTCCCAGTGCCAGGGTCAAAAATGGCACAAACTGGCTGCAGGATATTCTTTTGAAAGAAGGTTAAGAGCCAAAGATTGTTGTCTGCATTGGCAACAACTACAGAGAAAGAGGGATGAGGTCCGAAAGAAAAATTTAGAGAACATGTCAAGAGATTGAAAAGTAGCAATATCGAAGGCAATAATCTCAAGAATACTCCCAGCACCACATGTTAATGACTTTAAAAGCTGGAAGATTGAGCAAACTAACATGTTACTGGAAAAATAGTGCAGGAAGGAGTGCTTTAGATTTCTGGGGCAGATAACATCCATACAAGATGTATGGGTTACACATCAATAGGCCTGGGACTAAAAAATTTAAAAAGATTTTTAAAAAACTTATCTTGTCAGTGGGATGGATTTCAGATAGGAGATAAAGTTGGTTAGGATAAGTAGAACAGTTTTAAATGGAAAGCAGCAGAAACAAATTCAAGAGTTAATCAGGGTCAGATTATAGAATAGTGTTAAAAAGACAGCATTAATGGCATTCCATCTGAATACAAGCAGCTTTTCTAACAAAATAGGCAAACTGATGTTGCGGGTAGAAAAGAAAGCTATGATTTAATTACCATTGCTGAGACACGACTACTCTGACTAAGACTGGGAACTGAATATTAAAGGATATTCGACGTTTAGGAAGGACTGTGGAAAAGAAAATGGGGCCGGCTAGTAATAAGAGATGGGATCAATGTATTAATGACAGATGACCTCGATTCAGAAAAACAGGATATAGAGTCTGCTTGGATGGAGCTAAGAAACAGCACATGGCAGTGATTATTGGTAGGAGTGGTTCATGGGTCAAGGTATAAAGACATAGGCTATTTTAGGTCTAGTATTATGCAAAGGAAAGGACTAACTAATAAGCCTTGTTAAAAAGAACCTTACGGGAAAGAGTGACTATAATACTTTCGAACTTTATTTTAAACAGTTGAAACCAGAGCCTAAAATTTTAAAAAAAGGCAATAATGAAGGTATAGGAAGGATGTTAGCTGCAGTGGATTGAAAGAAAAAATCTTTCACAGTAGATAGGCAATGGCTAGAATCATTTCGAAGACATACGTTCTTTTAAGGCAACAGGAATAGCAAGAAGCATTGTGGCTGACAAGGGAAGTTAATAATAAGAAAAAACAGAGTTAACGTTTCAGGTCCAGTGACCCTTCCTCAGATCCTCCTCACCGGACCCGAAACGTTAACTCTGTTTTTTCCTTCACAGATGCTGTCAGACCTGCTGAGCTTTTCCAGCAACTTTGTTTTTGTTCCTGATTTACAGCATCCGTGGTTCTTTCGGTTTTTATTAAGTTAATAATAAGAAATTAATTTGACACGCACAGAACGGTAACATCTAGACCTTCCCACGTCTAGAAAGTCTGGAACTATGTGTCACAATGTCAGGATACAAGGTAGGCCATTTAGGACTCAGATGAGGAATTCACTCGAAGGTGGTCTGCCAGTAGAATTTGCTACCACAGAAGGCAGTATCACTGAGTTTATTCCAAAAAGAGATTGATATATTTTTAGACATGAAAGGCACCAAGGGAAATGGAGGGAAAGCTGTAAAATGGCATTTAGATAGAGGATCAGACATGATCACTTCAAATGGCGAAGCATGCTCAAAAGGGCCAAAAGGCCTACCCTGCTCTAGTTTCTATCTTTCTGTGACCCAGAGACCTGTTAGCCCACAGCTCTAACAATTTATCCACTAACCAAAAAAGGAGAGATATGCTATTGAAAATTTGTTGGTAGTAGAGTGAGAAGTAAGGCGTTGGCTCGAGACGCTTCAGTGAGCAGTGGCTCAGCAAAAAGTACAGGTAAGCTCAGGTAAAGTCATTTCAATTTCCTAGTCTTACTGCAGTTGGGATGGCAGTTAGGGCTGTGGCATGCTGCACCTGCAGGATGTGGGATCTCAGGGAGACTACACTTGTGGGAAGTGCACCCAGCTGCAGCTCCTGGGAGACGTGTTAGGGAGCTGGAGCTGGATGCATTCAGGATCATCCGAAATGCAGAGCACGTCATAGACGAGAGTTTTAGTGAGGTGATCACACCTAAGGTGCAGGCAGAAGGAGTAGCTGGGTGACCACCAGGAAAGGCAAAGGGAGGAGGCAGAGAGCGTAGGAATCCCTTATGGCCATTCCCCTCGAAAACAACTATATCACTTTGGATACTGTTTGGGGGGGATGACCACACACGGGAAAGCAGCAGTAGCCAGGTTGGTTGCACTACAGCTGGCTCTGGAGCACAGCAGGAAAGGGTAAAGGTGAACAGGACCTTAGTGATAGTTAGGGGGACAGACAGGAGATTCTGTGGCTGCAAACGGGAATCCAGGATGGTGTGTTGCTTCCTGGGCATGAAAGTCAAGGGTGTCTCGGAGCAGCTGCAGAAAATTCTCAAAGTGGGAGGGTGAGCAGCCAGAAGTCATTGTGCACGTTGGCACAAATGATGTCGGTAGAAATAGGGATGAGGTTCTGCGGAGTGATTACAGACAGCTAGGAAAAAAGTTTAAAAACCAGGACCTCGACGGTGGTAATCTCCAGTCCCATGTGCTAGTGAGGGTAAGAGCAGGAAGATATGGCAGATGAATGCGTGGCTAAAGAATTGGTGCAGGGAGCAGGGATTAAGATTCCTGGATCAATCGAGATCTTTTCTGGGGCAGACGTGACCTGTTCAAGAGGGACGGGTTGCACCTGAACTGGAAGGGGGCCAATATCCCGGCGGGCAGATTTGCTGGTGCTACAAAGGAGGGTTTAACTAGATTGGAAGGGGGGGGATGGTGGGATCCTCAACCGCAGGGAGGCAAGTGCGAGGCTGGAAGGAGATACAGCAATCAGAAACAGCAAGTTGAAGAGACGGGTCAGGCTGGAACAGGACAGGGAGTGAGGAATGCCTGTTGGATTAATGCCTGTTGCATCTATTTCAATGCAAGAGGGCTGACAGGTAAGGCTGATGAAATCAGGACGTGGATAAGTATGTGGGAATGGGATATTATAGGCAATACAGAAACATGGCTAAGGGAGGGACAGGACTGGCAGCTTAATGTGCCAAGGTACAGGTGCTTTAGGCAGGACAGAGGTGGAGGAAAGTGGGGAGGGGGAGTTGCATTTTTGACTAAGGAGAGTATCACAGAAGTAGTCAGAGATGAAATAACTGAGGGATCATCCAGTGAGGCTTTGTGGGTGCAGCTAAGAAATAAGAAGGGGATGGTGATGTTATTGGAGTTGTACTATAGACCCCCAAATAGTCAACAGGAATTAAAGGGACAAATATGCAGGGAGACTGGGGAGACTTGCCAGAGAAATCAAGTTGTCATAGTGGGGGATTACAATTTTCCTAACATAGATTGGGACTGCCATAGTGTTAAGGGCTTAGATGGGTGGAATTTGTTAAGTGTGTTCAGGAAAGTTTCCTTAAGCAGTATATAGAGGGCCCTACTCGGGAAGGGGCAAAACTTAACCTACACTTGGGAAATAGGGCAGGACGAGTGACTGAGATGACAGTGCGGGAGCACTTTGGGACCAGTGACTATAGTTCTATTAATTTTAAAATAGTTATGGAGAAGGGCAAAACTGGTCCACAGGTTCAAGTTCTAAATTTTGGGAAAGGTGAATTTTTGATGGAATTAGACAGGACCTTGCAGGGGTTGATTGGAGTAGTTTGTTTGCAGGCAAAGGGACCTTCGGCAAGTGGGAGGCCTTTAAAAGTGTAATAGCTAGAGTTCAAGGTCTGTATGTTCCTGTGAGGGTGAAGTTGGCGGGAGTAGGGAACCCTGGATGACAAGAGATATTGAGGCTTTGACCAGAACAAAAAGGAGGTATGGCTCAAGTACAGGCAGCTGGGATCAACAAAATATAGGGGGATACAGGGGTTTACTGAGGGAGGAAATCAGGAGGGTGAAAACAGGGCACAAGATAGCTTTGGCTATGAAGATTAGGATGAATCCAAAGAGATTCTTTAAGTATATTAAAGGAAAAAGAATAACTAGAAAGAGAATAGGACCCCTCAAGGATCGAAGTGGACATGTATTTGTGGAACTGCAGAAGATAGGCAAGGTCCTCATTGAATATTTCTCCTGTGTTTACCGTGGAGACAGACAAGGTGGTTTGGGAACTTGGGGAAGTTAGTGGCGACATCTTCAGGACAGTCCATATCACAGTTGAGGTGGTGTTGGAAGTATTAGAATGTATGAAGGTAGATAAACCTTCTGGTCCTGACCAGATATATCCAAGAACCCAGCAAGAGGGTTGAGAAGAAATTGCAGGGGTTCTGGCTGATATACTTGCATCGTTAGCCACGAGTGAGGTACCAGAAGACTTTAAGGTAGTGAATTGTTGTGCCCTTATTCAAGAAGGGCTGCAAAGAAAAACCTGAGAATTATAGACCAGTAAGCCTAACATCTGTGGTAGTAAGTTACTTGAGGAGATTCTGAGGGATAAGATATACATGCATTTGGAAAGATGGTTTGATTAGGAGTAGTCAGCATGGCTTCGTGTGTGGGAGATCGTGCCTCTCAAATTTGTTAAAGTTCTTTGAAGTGACCAGGAAGGTTGATGAGGGCAGGGTGGTAGATATAATCTGTATGGATTTCAGTAAGACCTTTGATAATGTTCCACATGGTAGGCTGCTCTGGAAGGTTAGATCACATGGAATCTAGGGAGAGCAGACAAATTGGATATACATTTGGCTTGATGGTAGGAAGCAGGGAGTAATCGTGGAAGGATGCTTGTCGGACTAGGGGCCTGTGACTACTGGTGTGCCTCCGGGGTCGGTGCTGGGCCCATTACTGCTTGTTATCAAAATCAATGATTTGGATGAGAATGTACAAGGCATGATTATTAAATTTGCGGATGACACTAAAACAGGCAGTATCGTGGACAGAGGGGAAGGTCATTAGAAATTGCAGCAGGATCTTGATCAGCTGGGGAAGTGGGCCGAGAATTGGCAAATGGAGTTTAATATAAATAAGTGTAAGCTGTTGCATTTTGGAAAGTCAAATCAAGGTAGGAGTTTCATGGTGAATGGTAGGGCCTTAAGGAGTGTAGTGGAACAGAGGGACCTTGGAGTTCAGGTGCACAGTTCTCTGAAAGTGGAGTCACAGGTAGACAGGGCAGTGAGGAAAGCTTTTGATAGACTGGCCTTCATCAATCAGGGTACTGAGTATAGAAATTGGGAAGTTATGTTGCAGTTGCACAAGACATTGGTGAGGTTGTAATTACAGTATTATGTTAAATTTTGGTCACCTTGCTATAGGAAGGATGTTGTTAAACCGGAAAGAGGGCAGAAGAAATTTACAAGGATGTTGCCAAGATTCAAGGGACTGAGTTATAGGGAGAGGTGGGACAGCTAGGACATTTTTCTTTGGAGCATAGGAGACTGAGGGGTAGCATCTCTTGCATTTCCCGCACTTCTACCTTCAAACCCCCTCACCACCTCCCCCCCCCCCCCCCCCCCCAACAAAAACAAAGACAGAATCCCACTGGTCAAAACACCTTGAAGGAGACTAAAGAGAGGACCTTACAGAAGTGTATAAGATGATGAGAGGCATGGATAAGGTGAATGCACTCAGCCTTTTCTCCCCAGTGTTGGGGAATCAAGGACGAGAGGGTTTAAGGTAAGAGGAGAAAGAATACGTGAGAACCTGAGGGGGCAACTTTTTTCTTTTAAAAGGGTGTTATGCACGTGGAATGAATTGCCAGCGGAAGTGGTTGAGGCAGATACATTAACAACATTTAAAAGACATTTGGACAAATACATGGATAGGAACATTTTTGAAGGATATGGGCCAAGTACAAGGAAATGGGATTAGCGTGGATTGACATCTTGGTTGACATGGACCAGTTTGGGCCAAAGGGCCTGTCTCTGTGCTGTAGGACTTTGACTCTATAACTTGTTTAACAGCACTACCTTGTAACTGTAGTTTTGTAACTACTTTCCCTCCCATTTCCTGATTTACTGCTGTTATTTGTATCCTGTATATTATCTACCAATGAAAAAAGCTGTTCAGTTCCTTTGCCCTCTCATTACTTTCCATTATTATTTCCCCAGACATGCTTTCTGTAGGGCCTACACTCAGTTTCTTAATTCTTCATTTTTAAATATCTATAGAAACACATTGTTTATATATTTCCAGCAGCCCTAATACTATACTTTTCCCTTGTTAACAATTTGCATACTCAGAGGGGTTAAACAGCAATTTAAATAATTATTACCAGGTGTAGTTCTCTTACCTTCGATTAAATGTGGTGATTTTGATCTAGTTGGTGACATACAAAGTTCAGGTTTCTAAAATAAGAATCATTAGATCTTAAAGTATGAAAATATTAAGCATTTAATTACTTAAATGATCAATATAAAGTCAATTGTTTCCTACCGATCTTTTAGAGACTTTGGACCAATTCTTCATCTTGCATTTTTTTTGCAGTTGAAAAACATATTTATCATTATTAGCACTATAAAAGATAATAGGTAACAATTATTCCAGATAGTTGTACAAAAATAGACAAGATCTATATACACAAGGAAAGCCCAGTGATGTGTCAGGTTGCTACAAAAATTCTTGAGCATGAATATTTAGAAGGTTGAAAATTTGCATTTATACTTCACAATTTCTTATTTGATTACAAATGTATCACTGCAAAGTTTAAGATTAGGTCACATGCACATCTGGTCATGAAATACTGCAAGTAAGGCGGGGTGGGGGAGGTGAGAGAGGAGAAGGAGGAGGTGGCTAGTGGTATTATTGCTGGACTGTTAATCCAGAGACCCAGATAATATTCTGGGGACCCGGATTAGAATTCTGCCACAGCAGATGGTGGAATTGAATTCAATAAAAATCTGGAATTAAGTGTCTAATGATGACCATTTTGATTACTGGGAAAACCACGAGTCTGTTGTTGGAAAAACCTCTGGTTCATTAACCTCCTTAAGGGAAGGAAACTGCCATCCGCACCTTGTCCAGCCTGTGTGAGTCTAGACCCAGAGTATTGTGGTTGACTTCAATGCTGACCCAGCCAGGGAGACCCTCATCCCATGAATGAATTTAAAAAAAGTGAAAATGGAGGATAGTTGCCAGCATGGGGGGATTTTGGTACTATGATAATGTCACTGCAGTAGTCACCCATAGACCCAAGATCTGAGGGCATAGATTCAAATCCCACCATGGCACAAGATGGAATTTAAACTCAGTTAATAAAAATCTGGAATTGAAATGTAACTATTAAACAATCATTAACTGCTGTAAAAGCTCCATCTGGTTTACTACTGTCCTTCAGGGAAGGGAATTTTCTGTCCTTATCTGGTCTGTGACAGCAGTGTAGGTCTTTGAGCTGCTCTCTGAAATTGCTACAAATTAGCTACTCTATTTAAGGACAATTAGGGAAGGGCAATAAATAATGGCCCAGTCAGTAATGCACACATGCCATGAAAGAACACAGAAAAAGAACAATCATCTTTAGTTGTTTCATCAATTACTTCCCATCCATCTTAAGATCAAAATTGGAAATGTTTGGTGTCTGCACAATGTACATTTCCATTCCTGACAACTCAAATGCTAAAGCAGCTCATATCTATTGGCTGCAAGACCTTGACAACATTCAGGTGCGGCCTGAAAAGTAACATGCAACGTTCACATCACACTAGTGCCAGATAATGGCCATCTTTCCTTGACTTCAGTGGCATTCATATCATTGGGGATTAACAGTGACTGGAACTGGACCAGCTGTAGTAATACTGTGGCAACAACAGCAGGTCACAGGCTGGAAATTCTGCAATAGTTAATTAATCTCCTTGCCCCCAAAGTATATCTGCTGTCAAAAAGGCATAAGTCATGAGTGTGATAGAATACGACCAGTTGGATGCAACCCCAACAACACCCAAGAAGCTCAACACCATTCAGGCCAAGACAGCCCACATGCCTGGTATCCTATCCACCACCTTATATGTTCACACTATCCATCACTAATGGATAGTGGCAGTAGTTTGTATCGTCTACAAAATGAACTGCAACAACTTACTGAAGCTTCTTCAATAACACCAACTAAACTCACAATCTCTAGAATGGCAATGACAGCAAAAGCATGGCAACACTACCGCCTGCAATTTCTACTCCAAGCCTGCACTATTCTGACCTGAAACTAAATGGCTGATCCTTCATCGTTGCTAGATCAAAATTCGGCAGTTTCCTTCACAGCATTGTGGATGTACTTACAGCACATGGGCTGCAGGAGTTCAAAAAAGCAAGGGCAATTAGGGATGAGTTATAAGTGTTAGATTAGACCGTGATGCCCATATCCCATGAAAGAATCAAAGCAAGTACTTTTAGAATTCGATTGTACTTTAGGATTGGTCCATTACTAGATTATAAATTTAATTGCCAGTGGTATAATTTTTGTTAGGTCAGTTACCTATTAGTAGGTCCCAACATGCGAGGACTGATGTGATTCCACTGTGGCGTTTTTGCTAAAGGAAAGATTACTGAAGTTGGAGTAGTTGGATTTGTCTGAAGCATGAAGTCGTCATCATCATCGTCCTCTTGACTGCTTGGAAAGCTGGGAAGCTGTACAATGTTGAAAGAAATATTGAAATTCAAAATTTGCAAAACTGAAACAATTAACATTTATTTGACAATTAAAGATTTATATTTGCAATGATATCAGATTTCACATTCAATAAAATTATTCATTATGGATGCAAGTCAAAGCATGTTTTCTTTTGGATTTTTGGTTTGAATTTTAATCCAATGTACTTAACAAATTGAAGAATTTAGTTTATTTTCCCAATAAGCTAGAGTAAGTCTTGTCGTGATAAAATTGGCTATTTGAATAACATGGGCAGATCTTAGAGGTTAGTGCTCAGTATTAATTTTTAATAGCACCAAAGACACTTGACCTGTTTTTGTAAATATGCTTAATTGAGTTATACACTACTTACAAATTCTGCTATTGCCTTTATATGAATTTCTCAAAAACTATCCTTAAATTTTTTACATGTATAATTTTTTTTACACTAATACAAATTTCATGATAAATTCTGCTTTTAAAATCTACTGCCATCGACCTCATGACTTCCATCAAAATCTTCAGAGGTAAGGCATTTTGATTGCACTGTCATTTTAGTGTCTTTTCCAGTACAGAAGCTCTGAACAGTTGACAAGAACAAAGCATGAAAGCATAAATCAAAATCATGAATGCAGGAACATTGAGAAATATTCTGAATGTATTTGATGTTGCATGCATATGAATGCATCTTACCCCTTCCAAAGACAGTTATGGAAGAGGTTATTAAACTCACAGGAGAAATCATTTTGTCTGAGGACTTTGGCTGCAAATTGTACATTTGAAACAATAATGTGGGAATGCAGGATACAATCCTTCCTCAAATCCCTCATGACAAAATAAACTCGGTCCTCTTGGTAAGTAGCTAATTTGGACAAACAATGAGACCAAAGCAGGAGGCTCCCATTTGGAGAACTGGAAGAATCAGGGAGTTTAGGAGGGCGAGATATTCTGGGATAAAGCTGAAATTTTAAGACAAAAAGGCATTCTAACTAAATAAGACATGCCCTGGAGGTAGTTAATGCAACCCCATTATTTAAAAAGGAGATAGGGAAAACAAGGCATTTAGCTGGTTGGTAATGGGGAAAATGCCAGAGTCCATTATAAAAGATTTAATATCAGATCACTTGAAAAACGTTGACAAGATCTGACAGGGTCAGCATGGAATTACAAAAGGAAAATCATGTTTGACAAATCTATTAGAATTTTAAGAGAATGTAACTAATAGAGTTGATAAAGGGAGGCCAGCGGCTTTGGTTTACTTGGACTTTAGAAGGCTTCGATAAGGTCCTACATAAGAGATGAGCAGGAAAAATTTAAAGCTAATGGGACTGGGGGTAGTGTACTGACATGGATAGAGAAATGGGCTGGCAGACAGAAAACAAATAGTAGGAATAAATTTTCTAAGTGGCAGCCAGTGACTAGTGGGATACTGCTTCACTCACAGCTATTCACAGTATATGAGTTAGATCACAGTGTTGTCATGGTGCAGAAGGAGAATCCATTGTGTATGTACCAATTCTATTCCCTAGTGCCAACTTCTGCCTTATCACAACACACCATTTCTATCCAAATAATCATCTAATGCCTTTGAATGCCTGAATTGAGCCTGTCACCACTACATTTTCAGACAGTGCATTCCATGTCTTTTCTCTCACCTTTGCTTCTCTTGTACATCACTTTTAATTTATGCCCTCTTGTTCCTTTTTCCTTTTTACAAGCAGGAACAGCTTCTGTCTATCTAAACAGCCCACTCATTATTTTGAAAACATCAATCAGATCTCCTCTCAGCCGCCTTCCCTCCAAGGAGAACAAGTCTTCACTCTGTGCTCAAAACTACTGTTGTAAATTACTTGTGCACTCTCTCCAATGAATTCACATCTTTCCAATACTCTGGTACCCACATCTATACATTGTACTCCAACTGAGATCTAACATGTCTTTTACAAGTTCAACATTACTTGTTTGCTCTTGTACTCTGTTAATGAAGCAGAGAACACTTTATTATCTGCTCCTTCACCTTTCCTTCAATGAATTGTGCACATATACACCCAAGTCCCTCTTCTCCTGCACCCCCTTCAGAATTGTACACCCGTGTTTAAGTTGTCTTTCAATGTGCTTCCTCTACCATGAAAAATCCATTATCTCAGCCTACTCCATGATCTCTTCGTTCCTTTAGTGAATTTGAATTTTAACAGTCTTAAATATATTTCAATGATTCTAGGGTAGAGCATGTCAAATATTCATAAACCCAATTAAAGAAATTTTTAAAAATCTCATCTCAATGACTAACCCCTTATCCTAAGACTATTGCTATATACAAGATAACTGTATTTGAACAGAAGCCAAATCCACACTTTTAGTGAGATTTATTTCACTTAACCACGCTCTATACCACTTATTAATATCTTCCTGTATTTATACAACTAAGCCTCACCGAATTAACCCTTAATATGTCCATCTTTTTCGTGGTTCCATTAGGTTTCCAGCATCCCTTAAGACCTTATTAAATTATAATAGATTTACAATTTCCTTTTTAAATAAATAATATATACACAATTAAAAAAAACAAAATGACAACATATTATAATCACTTTTATTTTCGCATTAAAGTTCCAAGCATCCTTTTTCTAGTATGTCCAAGAGTTTTTGAGAGCTTTCTGGATTGTTTGTAAACAATCAGATAGTTGACTGCTGGTACATACCCATTTCAACTTGAAAATTTCTCCATTCTCCAGCATCTGTTTTAAAAGTGCAACATCGATCCTTTTATTCATTCACTTATTTTGTTGAGTGTACTTTATCCCATAGTGACTTACTATTGATGTTGCAGTCATTAGGTATTTCATCTAAATCCCTTTTTAGAACTTCTTCCAATAATTTTGCAATGAAAAATCCACAAAGCACTTTTTACTACTTTTCTGAACATTTTAGCTTCCCAAGCTGAAGGACAACATTTACATACCTTTCCCACAAGAAAAGTTCTAAACCCTGCTGAACGTAAAGACCCATTACAGATATTTGCATAAAAAGCATGATTAAAACAAGTTTCATGTTCCTGGCATCTCCCAAAGATGGAAACTTCAAAACACAATGCTTCATTTTTAATTTTTTCTATGTTTTGTTTATCCAAATAATATCTTCCACCTTGGGATTTTTCAAAGTTGCACTCAACTAATTCTTCAAAATTGACGTCTACCCTTGTTTGGGTGCCATGCTAATTCAGCAGTCTAATCAGACGTTGGAATTCCTCCATTTCAGTTTTCAAAGCATTGTATCTTTTTAGGAAGCTCTACTTTGATTAATGGTAATGGGTTAAGATATGCCAAATAAGATTGCCAATGCAAAATGACACTTGATTCATTCTGCCCGATTTCCAACTTAATGTAGTTAAACACCCCAGAAGCCTAAATTCCAATTTTGAATTCTGCTTTAAGTCCATTTATGAAACTGCTCCTACCTGACAAAAAATCATCTGTGTACAACATAAAGATGCCTGGCAGTTATCACTGGTGATACTAGTAAAACATGGCAGGGTCTGCTTTAAACTGAGGACAGCTCAATTTTAACAAGACAGACCTTACTGTGAATTACTGTACTCTAGAGATATAATTTAAGTCATAGAGTTGTACAGCACAGAAACAGACCCTTTGGTCCAACTCATCCATGCCAACCAGATATCCTAGATTAATCTAGTCCCATTTGCCAGCATTTGGCCAATATCCCTATTAAGTCCTTCCTATTCCTGTACCCATCCAGATGCCTTTTAAATGTTGTAATTGTACTAGCTTCCACCACTTCCTCTGGCAGCTCATTCCATACACATACCATCCTCTGCGTGAAAAAGTTACCCCTTAGGTCCCTCATATTCACATTTGTTTAATTTCCAAAATACTCCCACTTGATGCCTCCTTTGCAGGATGAAGATCTGTTTCCATTGTGAGCTAATATCCCTACAGACATGCATATTTAATAATAATTGATCTACACACCCAAGCATAACTTGTTAACGAAGCCCCCCAAAAATTCAAAATTGTTTTTCTAGTTATCTGTGAATCTATTGACATCTCAGGCCCCAGTTTTTCTTCAGAAACATGTCCCATTAACCTTGCTTTAGGCATATAATTCCCATCAGGAGACATCTTTTCCATACATATCCACTATGAGCTAGGACTGAATTGCCCCAGTTTGATACCTCTGTATACACTCCAAATTCTCTCTAATTTTCTAATTCTTGTTGTTCAGCCTTTTTTATTAACTAGTCTTCGAATTTGTTTGTGACCACTTAGACTTAACAATCACACGGGTTTCTACTGGTGATATCCATGGTTTGTACTACACTTGTCCTTCTATTTTGTCTTTATCTCTTTCTGGACTGCTGCGGTTGGACTCTCCTTTTATGAACAGATTTCTTTCAATGTTTTGTGATAACTTTTTCAGGGTATTTGCTCCCAGAACCACTATTTAAGCCTACATTATAGTTTCTTGTCTTCCTGTCTTTTTACATCATGTTCCAAAATCCCTGGGCCTAACCTTCTGCCCTTCATCCCTGACATATATCCAGCTTTTATATTTTCCATTGGCCTTCCCTGCTCAACTTATAATTTTCCATTTCTCCATTGACTAGCCCCGTCCGGTAAATATATACCCACTTTTGGCGGTTGTACTTTGGGACCAATGCCGTCATGTTGACCATCAGAACTGATGAGTCCATGCCCTCTTTGTGCAACGTATATGGTTGGGAAAGATTGTTTCCCTAAGAATTTTTTAGTGCTACAGATATTTGCTCTAACAGTGTTTATTTGCAAATTTAACTTCTATCAAAACTAGAAGTTTATCTATACTTGATATTTGGTACAGTTCAACAACTTAAATGCCAACACAGATTGGCAAATTAATCCAAATGAAATTTCTGTAGTCTTGCATACAATCTACTGAATTCCATTATGTACTCTTTCCTGGTACTATTTTCAATCTTCCTAAAAATTTGTCAAAATCTGGCCACACTTCATAAGCAGTCAATAAATTATGTTTTTGATAAATTATATCCATGATAGTTAACAATTTGTCCAAATCTTCATCTGTGTTCAAATCATCAGATTCACTTCTTACCCTGCTTCTATGTAGCCGTGAAAGTGCCAGGGCTATACGGAAGTAATCCATTTTTCATTTTTTCACCAGTTATAAGATTCATTTCCAAAAGCAGGGGTGGATAATCATACCCTGAAACTTCACCCTTGACTCAACCATCCTCTGCAACCTCAAGAAGATAACCATATTTAAACAGAGTTCAAGTTTGCATTTTATAGTGAGAGTTTTACTTATGTTAACTACATTCCTTGAAACTCTTAGCCTAATGATTATGAGTTGCCTATATTTATACAACTAGTTCTCACCCAACAAAAACAGAAATTGCTGGAAAAACTCAGCAGGTCTGGCAGCGTCTGTGAAGAAAAAAAATCAGAGTGACCCTTCCTCAGAACTGATGGTAGCTGGGAAAACATCAGTTCATATGCAGAAAATAGGGAGGGGGTTGGGATAGGAAGTAAACGATAGGATAGAGCCTAAAGAGAGAGAAGAACAGTTGGACAGATGAAGGAGTTGCTAACGATCAGGCTGGGAGGGTGAATAGTTGTTAATGGGGACTGTTAGTGACTAAAAGCAGCAGGTGTGTAATGGCAGGCTATGTGATAACAAGGCGTGGTGTGTGGGGTAGGGGACTAGGACATGGGAGAGTTTAGGCCCTAAAATTACTGAACTCGATATAGAGTCTGGAGGGCTGCAGGGTCCCCAAGCGGAAAATGAGGTGCTGTTCCTCCAGCTTGTGTTGAGCTTCACTGGAACACTGCAGCAAGCCAGAGACAGAGATGTTGGCCAGGGAACAGAGTGGTGTTTTAAAGTCTCAGGCAACAGGTACCTCAGGGTTTTTTTTGCGAGCAGAACGTAGATGTTCTGCGAAGCAGTCACCCAGTCTATGCTTCATTTTCCCAATGTACAGGAGACCACATTGTGTGCAGCAAATGCGTTAGACTGGATTCTGGGAAGTGTAAGTGAAGTATTACTTCACCTGTAAGGTATGTTTGGGCCCTTGGATAATGGGAAGGGGGGAGGTAAATGGGCAGGTGGTGCACCTTCACCGGTTGCAGGGGAAGATGCTGTAGGGCAGTGGTGGGAGGAAGAAACGGTCCCTGCGGAAGGCGGACAAGGAAGGGGAGAGGAATATGTGTCTTGTGGTGGCATCTCGCTGGAGGTGGTGGAAATGCCATCTGATGATCTTCTGGATGTGGATGCTGGTGGGATGGTAGGTAAGGACAAGGGGAACCCTATTACTGTTGCGGGAAGGAAGAGAAGGGGTGAGGGCGGAAGTGCGGGAGATGGGTCGGACCTGGTTGAGGGCCCTGTCAACAACGGTGCTAGGGAATCTTCAGTTGATGACGAAGGTGGACATTTCGGAGGCTCCCTTGTCAAAGTTGGCCTCATCTGAACATGTACAATGGAGACGGAGGAACTGAGAGAATGGGATGGAGTCGTTACAGGAAGCAGGGTGCAAGGATGTATAGTCCAGGTAGCTGTGGGCGTCAGTGGGTTTATAGTGAATATTAGTGGCCAGTATATCCCCAGAAATGTCGAGGAAGGGGAGGGAGGAATCAGAGATAGACCAGGTGAAAGGGAGGGCAGGGTGGAAAATAGAAGCAAAATCAATGAACTTTTCCCATTCTGGATGAGAGTGGGAAGCAGCACCGATGATATCATCAATATATCGGATAAAAAGTTGTGGGTGGGGCTGGAATGGGACTGGAACAAGGAATGTTCCACATACCCAACAAAGAAGCATGATTAGGTAGCTTGCGGGTACCCATGGCCACCCCTCTTACCTGAAGAAAATGAGAGGAGTTAAAAGAGAAATTGTTGAGGATGAATGCGAGTTCGGCCAAGCAGAGGAGGGTGGTGGTGGGTGGGCAACACCTGCCCATTTACCTCCTCCGTCCCCAGTATCCAAGGGCCCAAACATAGTCTACTGCATTCACTGCTCACAATGTGGTCTCCTCTACATTGGGGAAATAAAGCGTAGGCTGGGTGGCCGCTTCACAGAACATCTACGTTCTGCTCGCAAAAAAGACACTGAGCTACCACTTTAACACACCACCCTGTTCCCTGGCCAACAACTCTGTCTCTGGCTTGCTGCATTGTTCCAGCGAAGCTCAACGCAAGCTGGAGGAACAGCACCTCATTTTCTGCTTGGGGACCCTGCAGCCTTCTAGACTCAATATCGAGTTCAGTAATTTTAGGGCCTAAACTCTCCCATGTCCTAGTCCCCTACCCCACACACCAGGCCTTGTTATCCCGTAGCCTGCCATTACATATCACGTAGCCTGTTGTTAGTCACTAACAGTCCCCATTACCAACTTTTCACCTTCCTAGCCTGATCGTTATCAACTCCTTAATCTGTCCAACTGTTCTCTCTCTTTAGGCCCCAACCTATCGTTTCCTCCCTACTCCAGCCCCTCCCTATTTTCTGCATATAAACTGATGCTTTCCCAGCTACCATCAGTTCTGAGGAAGGGTCACTAGAACTGAAACTTTAACCTGATCTTTTCTTCACAGATGATGCCAGACCTGCTTTTCCAGCAACTTCTGTTTTTGTTCCTGATTTACAGCATCTGCAGTTCTTTCGGTTTTTATTTAGTTCTCACCCAATTTAGCCTAATGAACTTGTCCATCATCTGTTCCCTTGTTCCATTAAGTCTCAGGTATTCCTTATCAGACCTTATTAGGTGATATCAAATATGACTTCTAATTTGAGACTCTCCAGCTAGGGGAATACAATCTATACCACCACCCCCAACCTCTGCGCCCCATCAAACGCTCTTAAGAATTTTATACATTTTAATGAGATTACCTCTCATTCTTGTGAACTTCAGAATATTAGCCCATTCTGCTCAATGGCTCTGCACAAGATAGCCCTCTCATCTCAGGAAGCCATCTAGTAAACCTTTTTGCACTATAAGGCAAATTCAGCCTTCAGCCTTCCTTGGAAGAGGAAACCAAAACTTATACAGTACTTCAGGGATGGTCTCACAAAGCAAAGTCATACAGATTGTTGCAAGTCTACACTTAATTTTAAACTCCTTTCAATAAAGGAAGTATTAGATAACTATTTTGAATCATGAAGAATTTGATATTTCCTGAAGCTTTATAACACTGTGAAATGATATCTTACAGGTCCCTCACCTTTATTTGTTTTTGCTGGAATACTGTATCACTGAAAAGGTCTTCATGGTCTTCCTTTGGCAAATGTTCCAGGAAGGACCTTACTTGTTGTTTTCTCTTCAGTGTTCCAACACGAGCAATAATTTTCACAGGCTCTTCTATAAAGCATGATACATATTAAATAATTATGCAATGAAACCAGCAAAACTGCTATCTCACCTAATCAGTGAAATCTGAAAATGTTGGCAGATAGTATTTTTATATCTTGATTATAGCTGGAAATAATTCTACAGCGAAGTATCAATGCTTATTTTATGGTTTTATTTTGGAAAGTTTGCTTTTTGAAAAAAAAAGGGACTTATTTGTCAAACAAGTGTTCTGTTTTGAATAGTGATGAGGAAGATGGCCCATCAGGTGTCAGCAGCAGCAGTGGCACCACAGCTGGTCCTGCTTTACAGAGGAGAGGGACATGCCTAGTAGACCAATAGTAATTGCAGATTTGATAGTCAGGAGCACAGATAACTGTTTGTATAGCCACGAAAGACTCCAGGATGGTGTTGGGCCTCCCTGGTACCAGGGTCATGAATGTCTCTGAGTTGGTAGGGGCATTCCGAAATGAGAGGGTAAACAGACAAAAATTACTGCCCATATTGGCACAGATGACATAGGTCAGAAGAGTGACAAGGTCCTGCAATGACAATTCAGGGAGTCAGGTAGTAAATTAAAAAACAGGACCTCGAGAGTAGTAATCTTAGGATTACTCCTCGTGCCGTGTGCTACTGAGGTTAGGAACAGAAACAGAGTAGAATTGAACATGTACCTAAAGAGCTGGTGTTGGGGGAGGGCTTCAGATATACGGATCATTGGGATGGCTTCCAGGGAAGGTGTGACTTGTACAAGAAGGATGGGTTGCACCTAAACTGGAGAGGCACCAATATCCTGGCAGGGAGGTTTGCCCTTAGGTGTTGGTGGTGAGCTGCCTTTTTGAACCACTACAGTCCGTTTGCTGTAGATAGATCCACAAATCCTTGGGGAGAGAGGTCCAAGGTTTCAATTCTGCAACACTGAAGAAATAGCGGCATTTTTACAAATTTGAGTGGCAAGTGGCTTAGAGGGTAACTTGCAGATGGTGGTGCTCCCTTGTATCTGCTGCTCTTGTCTTTCTAGGTATTTATAGTGTATTTGGAAGGTGCTGTCTAAGGAGCCTTGCTGAATTTCTGCAGTGCATTTTGTAGATGGTACAAAAACAGAAATTGCTAGAAAAGCTCGGCAGATTTGGCAGCATCTGTGGAAAGAAGTCAGAATTAATGTTTCAGGTCCAATAACCCTTCCTCAGAGCCCTTTGATTTACCACATCTTTGATCACTTGCCCCACTATTTAGTACAAAATCTTCCGTGCCTCATTTATCATACAGCTGTGTGAATACCAGTCCCAGCATAGTTCAGATATAGACTGCTCCAGTCATACAGGCTCCACTTTCTACAGTACAAGTGTCAGTGCCCCATAATTCAAATTCAGAAATTATCATCTTTGAGATTATGCTTCTTAATTTAAATGCCACTTCATCCAGAAACAGATGCTGGGCAATCAGACAAGTCAGAGACAGTGGAGGCATTGCTAAAGAAAGGCAGGGCAGAGCCGTATCTGGTAATATACCATTATTCCAGAGTCCTCCACGGTTCTATCCTCGGCTTCCTTGTTTTCATTACTTACATGTTGCCTTTTAATGGCATCAGTAACAGTAAGGCTCAGCTGCCATGACTGACAATACCAAAACTCTATCTTTCTGCCCCTTTCCAAATCCCTCATATTTCTGTTCTGTCAAATTCTTATCCAAGATTTCAGTCTTGCATTCTGGTTCCCACAGGGCTTTTTTCTACCCAGCTGTATAACCCTGTCTTGGTCTACAAATATTCTCCCCGTTACTACTTCTGCTCTGATCTCATTTGTGTCTTTACCCCTCCTCATCTAGATAGTTGTTGTTAACCACCAAGTGTCCACACTCTACTCCTTATTTCTATGATCCTCATAGAAACGTAACTCTTTGATCAAGCTCTTGGTTGCCCTTACTTCATTGGTTAGGTGTTAATTTTTTATTATATCTTTTACATGGTTTAGGATTTTTAAAAATATCAGCACTATATAAACGCAACTGAATAGATTTGTTGTATTAACAATAAAGTCATTTTGCTTTCACTTTTCCGTACCTAGCATTTAACAATGTTTACTGCCCTCTTGTGGCAATCTAGTTCATATGCAACTGACGAAGAAAGAGAACGAAATAAATAAATGCATTAATGAAGAACACGAATGTGTGGGTTTAGGGGAGGGAGGTTTAAGGGAGAAAAAAGTAAAAATCTGTTATATGTACACATAATGCAACATGAAATGGAAATAGAAAAGAAGGAAAGTGAACAAGGCTGATGAAACAAATGGAAGTTACGTCAGAGAGAGGAACTTCTTCACTGTGGGCATTCCTGGAAATGAAGTGGCAGTGAATTAAATGCTAATTTTAAAGGAAAATACTATGGATGCTAGAAATCTCAAATGAAAATAAAACATGTTGCAAATGCCCTAGCAGTCAGGCAACATCTGTGAAGAGGAACATTAATTTTTTAGCTCAACGTGACCTTTCATCAGAGATATCTGATTGAACGCGGAAGGGAAATATACAGCAAGTTTGAAAAAATTCTTCTGTCCAACAGGATCTCTGTTTGACTCTTTTACTTTAATAAGCTTCTTTGCTATTTCCTTTCTTGTATTAGATCAGATATCTAAAAACTAGTCCCAACAAAAGGTAATCTCAAACTGAAACATTAACTTTGCTACTTTTCAGACAGTGCCTGACCTGCTGAATATTTCCAGCAACTTTTGTTTTTAATTTGTTACAAGTGAACATATTTTCTTCAACTACCTATTGTGATTTTCGGATATGTCTTTATGTCAATACGTAACACTAGAATTTTGAACCCAGTCATTTGGTATGGTCATCCTATATAACCATACAGTTACATATAAGATAATGAGTGTAGCACGGTGAATTTCTTATTGTACTTTCAACTTTCATCCCTGGCTGATAAATTTCCAAAAGCCTTTACAATAATGAATTGCTCACAAGCAACACCAAGTGTACCTACCAATATATTTTAATAAAATGGAATATTTATGATTCTGACCTACTCTTTCATAATCTTACCCTTTCCAAATATTAAAATTATCGTAATATAAAAATAGTATATTTGGAAATGTTAATAATAAAGAAAAATATTCTACACTGCCTCACATACTAACAAAACATCTCTATGTGTATATAATCCTACCTTGCTTATTTTTATTACTGGTAGAATTTTTCTTTTGCTTTACATTAGGCCTTTTGGACAATTTCAGTTGATGGTCAGATAGGTACTTTTGCTGGCAAGCCTCAGCAGAATGTGTTCCAACAGATGCAGCAACCTCTTCCCAGAAACCATGCTTATTTTTTGGTAATGCTGAAACAGTTCTGTCAGAATAAAAGTAAAATTGAAACTTTGTTAAAGCCAAAGCCAAAGCCAAGTCAAATAAAGATAACTGAGCTTACAATGTTTTAAGTTGTTTTACAGGACATCCTACATGTATTGCTAGAACGAACCAGTATTAAGTTACAAAATAGAGAAAAATATTTAACATGAACTTTCCGTGAAGATGCATTGTGATGTAATCGATCTCTCCTTAATGACCAATAGTACACCTCTGTAGGACTTAAAAGGGCACAATGCACCTTAAAATGTCTGTTTTGCCAGGGACTTTCGTAGAGAAAATTCCATTTGTGTGACTTTATTGGCTGCTATTCAGGATCTGAACCGGCCACCACTTCTTCTTTCCTTCCTTCATTTCCTCTCATTATGCCTCCCTTCCATTTCGACACTCTCAACTACTCAGCTTTCCTATATCCGTATATCTTTGGTGACCTACTCTCTTTCCAATATCCCAGCCTGACTCCTTCTGAGATAAAGTAGCAGCTTCTCCCTCTGCTACTGTTGGTCCATGATGCCCAAATATTCAAATATATTTTTTCGCTGCACTTTTCATCCAGCATGGCCACAGTGGCTAATTTTGCCAATCACCTTCTTGGTCCAATTATCTCTCTCACTGCTGCCTTCTTAGACTAACAGCTGTCACCATGTTTGCTAAATCTTTTTCCAGGATGTCCTTTCACATGTGAATAAGGCCTTTGTTATCCAGGAACTTGAAAGGTATTGTTATGATCCTAGCCGATGTTATCACTGGGTGAATTGGATCCCAATGTAAACTAAGCTCCATTACTCTCAAGGAGATCCCGCCCCAAAACTGTTCTAAAAGAAATCATCTTGGCCTCAGAAATACAAGTTAATTAAACTCCTTCAGACACACAGAGAACCCAAATGCCGCTAGCTCAAAATGTAAAAATCCAAAATAAATGAACCTAAAATATATATAAATCAGACACCTTACATCACACTGTGATCTAATCCACAATGGATGAGGGCTGTTTTCTTCTTCATGGCAAGAGAATCCAAGTACAGGAGCAGGGATGTCTTGCTGCAATTATACAGGCCAAATAAGACCACATTTGAAATAGTATGTGCAGTTCTGATTTCCTTATCTGAAAAAGCATGTTCTTGCTATAGAGCGAGTGCAACAAAAGTTTACCAGACCAATGAATGGGAAGAAGCTGAATCGGTTGGGATGATATTTGCTGGAGTTCAGAAGAATGGGGGAGTCCTGTAGAAGCCTATAAAATTCTAACAGAACCAGAAAGGGTAGATACATGAAGAATGTTCCTGATGATTTTGGGGGTAGGGGGTGGGGAAGAGGGAAGAGAGAAGAGAGAGAGTCCAGAACCAGGAATCACAGTCTAAAGATATGGGGTAAACCATTCAGGACTGAAATGAGAAGAAATTTCTTCACCCATAGAGTAAGCCTGTGAAATTTGCTACCATAGAGAGCAGTTAAAGCCAAAACATTGTAAGAATTCAAGGAGGAGTTGAGTTAGGCCTAAAGGGATCAAAGGATCAAAAACAGGAACAGATATTGAGTTGGATGATCAGTCAAGGTCATAATGAATGGTGGAGAAGGCTTGAAGAGCCAAATTGCTGCTCCTACCATTTTCTATATTTCTCTGCGCAAAAACAGTCTTCCCTGCCTTATCTTGTGGGATTCTAGAATATTATAGGCTCTGTTCCTCTAATAGCTTGGCCTGCTACTTCAACATTTTTAATCAACAGTAGAATCAGCGGCCAATGAGTGGTGATATCTAGCTGCATTGAATGTCACTGTTTTGGTTGTAGACTAGACATGCAAACATTTGGTTCTCTATGTTCAAATCTGTTATCACCAGGATGTAATGTGACATATAATTCTGCATGTACACAACTACCTGCCTCTGCTGAAGTACCTTGCATATTTTCTCGCCGTCTAGTTCAAATTGTTCCTGTGGATCTCTCACATTCTGTTAAACAGCTGCCTATACATAGCAGTTAATTTTACTTATGCATCAACCTGACTCTTGCTGAACTACACTCGTCTAGTGTACTCCTTGATGCACTTAATTTAAATCCCTTCACAATTTTGCCCTCCCCTAAGTACAGTCTTCCAACTTTGTAATTCACATCACCCAGCCATCCAACTTTTTTTTTTAGCGTTTGCAACGATGGCAAAATCTTTAGCTACCCGAGTCCCAATCTTCAGAAACCTCATTCAAACCTCAACACTTTATAATTAACTTTAAAAACTTAAATCCATCTTTTGAACCACACCACATCTCCTATACCCCAAAACTGACTGCTTTCCTGTGGTCAATTTACTTTACCTACTTTTGTTCTGCATGCTAAATTTGGAAACATTATTTAGGTTAACAGTGTAAGTGTCCTGTTTTCCATAACTAAAATGCCAGACAAACACTAGTGTGTTTTGCACTTTGTGACTTACTGTGCTTTCAATCAACACAAAAATAATTGTTCTGGAAACAATTCAAATAGATTGGGCACACGCCTTACTAATTAAAGTAAGGATATGGGAGGACTAATTGAGAAATTTCAAATTTAATTGCAAAAGAAATCAAGAGATTATTTAGCTAAGCATGTGTGACATTGGTTAGCATAAATTCTTTGCTTCAGAAAGTTAGAGTTAAATATGTGCAACAAGGAACACTCTATCCCAGTGTTGAAAACTAAAACAAATCAATGATCAAAATACAAAGACTCATTACTCAAACTCTGAGTTATTGGTAATATTGTTGAGAAATTGGTTTGCAAAACATATATGCTTAAAAGACACAGCATACGTAGTAAAAGGACAATAAAGTTCAAGCTTCCTTAAATCACTAAAGCTATTCTTACCTGTGTAGGCAACGTAGTTCTTTCTTGGTCCAGAGTTCTGTTTCACTATCAAGAGAGTGCAAGGCTATGAACTGTTTTGCTTGCTTTTTCTGATTAGACCTAGAATTTGATTCAGGGTGAACGTCTGTAGCCAATAATTTTCTAGGTACAGTCTTTTTATTTGGAAGTTTTGTTTTTTCTTTTACAATAACATCAGTCTTATTTATTTCAGTTTCTGAAACATCTGATGACAAGAATCTATTGAATTGATTCTTAGTTTCTCTTTGTGAAGAGTGTTGGTTGCACTTTAATGCACTGGTTCCAACATTATGGTGACTTAATTCTGATTCCTTTATTGGATGTGAAAGAGATTTTTGAACCTTGGCATTTAGTTTTGAAGAGTATTTTGATCGAGTTGTAGTAGTCACATCGGCATAGCCATTATGTAATCCTTTCTTCTGCCTGTCAGTTTTTGGACGAAAGGGGGTTTGAAACTTTTGAACACGAGTGACTTTCTGTCTTCTAGGACTACAGAAGTTATCTGAACTAAGTTCCTCAGTATTATTTTTTCTGATCTCCTTGTTGATTGGAATAGAGCTGGATGATGTCAATGTCTCAGACAAAATACAATCTTTAGTAATCATTGGAGAGACATGTTTAAGCTGAACTAAGGGTGTTTCAGACTGGGGTTCTATGCTATTAGTACATTCAGAATTGCACGTAGTTGAAATTATATGCTTATTTACTGCTATTTGATTTCGTTTACTGATACACCTTTTGTCGTTTGCACTTCTCACTTTCCTTTTAATCTTAATCTTGACACTCTCACTAGTCTCCAAACTTTCATCTTCTGATTGTCTTGATTCAACAAGTTTTTTGATTGACGGTGAAGAATGTTTCAATTCTGTGGGTCCATCAGACTGGTCCTCAAAATTGTCATTGTCATTTGTATCTTTTATTTCAGATAAACTACTCATTTCTGCAACAGACATATTTCTTTCTTTGTTCCTTTTGCTTTCAGCATTACCTAACAAACCACTTGATTTTATTGTTCTTTTTCTTAATTTGTAAGAGTCATGCTGTTTCACTTTCATGGGTTTCCAATTAGATTTGTCTTCCAAATTATCAGTATCATTTGTATCCTCTATTGCAGATGAATTGCTTACTTCTGCTACATACATATTTCTTTCTTTGTTTCTTTTGCTTTCAGCATTATCTGACAAACCACTTGACTTTATTCTTCTATTTCTTAACTCATAAGGGTGTTTCGCTTTCCTGCATCTCCGATTTGACTTGTTTTCAAAAATATCACTGTCACTCGTATCCTCTATTTCCGCTGGATTGACCATTTTCACAATGGCCAAAGTCTTTCCTTTCTTTCTTTTCATATTAGCATCGTATAATTCATTTAATTTTACTGTTTTGTTGCTTAATGCACGAGGATCACAAATTGGAGTCATAACAACAGTTGGGTTTAGGTCACCATATTTTCTATCAGTAGGTTTTCCTGTTGTTGTATTCAATGAACTTCCACCTGTGCTTGAAGCAGCCTCTCTTGACAACTGTTTGCGTGTTTGATTTCTTGTAATACATTTCACCGGTTGGTTGTTAGACTTTTCACTTCCCTTTTTTCTGTGTTTGGACCCTCTTTCCATCTTCAGAACTGGATCTATTAAAAGACATGTTAAATTCCAGATCTGATATTCAAATAGAGTGGATGTTCACTGTAAAAGATACATTACTTATCTTTGGGCATTGCAATCAGCGTTCCATGAGAAATGAGAAATCTACTAAAACAGTAAAATGCAATGAGAATTTTGGACAAATGACATTTTTATTCCATTTTTCACCTTACATATTCCTAGAAATCACACCAAATTACCCTGCAGGGTTAATTAAACATGTGGTAAAAGTTTGGTTGACGAAATAGATTTCTGTACTGTTGTCCTTCAGATCTGCATAAGTGAAGATGATGCCTTGAATTTATAAAACTGAAAACATACCTTTAATTTTGTCTAGTTCATTAAAGTTATCCATCATGATGGTGAGTACTTCAAAATTTTCTTTTTTCTCCATGGAATGAAAATTGCAAACAAGACCAGCATTTGGTGCACCTCTCTTATTACCACTGAACTGAGTGACTTGCTCGCCGATTTTACAGGGCAGTTAAAGTATCAACCACATTACTGTGGATTTGGAGTTACACGTAGGCTAAACTGGGTGAGTTTAGGCTAAACTCCCTTTCCCAAAGGACACTTATGATCCAGATGGGCTTTTAAAACAATCAATGATAGTCTTCATGGTTACCATTATTAAGACTAGCTTTATATACTAGATTTATCAATTGAATTAAAATTCCACTAGCTATCACGGTGGGATTTGAATCTATGCAGCAGAGCATTAGCTTCGGCCTCTGGAATACCAGTCCAGTAACTAGTAGTTGTTTGAGAACTTCAAGAAAATGCTTAATTTACATGCTGTTGCATATTTATAAATGCTTGGGAAACTAAAAAGGCAGAATTTTGATACAGTAATCTTTAAAAAAACATTGCACCTGGCAGAGCAGTTAGCAGAAGTCAGAGTTAAGATACTGACCAGTAATGATCTAATTGAATTGTGGAACAAGCTAGACTTGCTCACAGAGATTCTCATGATTCTCAATTACAAGTTCTTTTTGAAAGGTTTGGACATGAAGCTACATCGAAATCAAAGCAGCTTTGGGTAGAAGGAAAACCAGATTTATTCTTTTACAGGCATATGCTCTGATTTGTCTCATTTGCTGATATTTCCTGCATCGAGGTGTTTTTCTGAGCTTCTTTAGAGTGCAGGAAACCTTCCCAGAAATTAAATCAAGGGCATCCACTGCTGCAGTACAGTGTTCTGAAAGACGATTCCACGGATATATTAAATAAGCAATCCAACAGTTTACAAAAAGATAATTAAATTCAAATGTAGGGAACCAACAGAGAATAGTTGGTGCCAAAACAAATAGTCCTCACTCAATTACTTTGTGCAAGCACAATATTTAAACATCATGATGCTACTGCATCAAAATTATTTGACATCTCCCTCATTTACAACCTCTGTTTATGTAGAGAATATAAAGTGTTTTATATGGCTCCAGAAATTATATTCGAAATAGGAACTAAGTAGTAATGTGGAAATAACTGACATAACTCAATGGGAATGGAGAAAATGCTGCAGATTCATAGATGAAAAATCCCTAGGTATCTAAGCAGGCCATTCGGCCCACCTAGTTCACACTGACCCTCTGAAGAGCATCCCACCCAGACCCACCCCCTATCCCTGTAACCATGCATTTCCAATGTCTAACCAACCTAGCCCGCACATCCCTGGACACTATAGGCAATTTAGCATGGCCGATCCAACTAATCTGCACATCTTTAAACATTTTAGTGTTAGACGATCCTACCAAGTACTTTAGCAGATGGATTTTTTTTTTTAAATTGTCCCATTTCATGTATCTCTGATGCTATTTAGATGAAGCTCTTCATGAAAAGATACTGCTTTTATTATTGTAATGAGAAATACATGAAACATTACAACATTAACTTGCAACAGGTAACAGATATAATGAGTTCACACCTCGTAAAGAAAATGGATATGCGAGGTAATAGAAATGATAAAAGAAATGGTGGGAGCCCAGAACAAACTTAAAGTTCGAGACTGGTCTTCCATGAGTGACTTTAGAAGCACTTCTTCACATAGCATATAGTGGAAATATGGAACATCGTCCTTCAAAAATCTGCTGAGATTTGATACTCCATCCCCAATTTTGCTAAGGCTTCTTGATGCCAGATTCTGTTAAATGCAACCTTTGAGGGCAAGGACATTCACTCTTGCCTCACTTCTGGAAATCAGCTCTTTTTGTCCATGTTTGAACTAAGGCTGTAATGCGATCAGGAGCTAAGTGGCCCTGGTGGAACCGAAACAATGTCAGTAAACAAGTTATTCCTGAGCAAGTATGGTTGATAGCACAAAAACAAAAGTTACTGGAAAAGCTCAGGAGGTCTGGCAGCATCTGTGAAGAAAAAAATCAGAGTTAACATTTCAGATCCAGTGACCCTTCCTCAGAACGGTTGATAGCATTATTCATGACACCTCCCATCACTTAGAATCATAGAATCCCTACAGTGCAGATAGAGGCCAATCATCCCGTCAAGTCACACTGACCCTCCAAACAGCATTCCTCCCAGACCCACCACACCCTACCCTATCCCCGTAACCCTGCACTTACCATGGCGAATCATCCTAGCCTGCACATCTTTGGACTTTGAGGAAACCGGAACACTGTCTCCCCATACAGACATGGGGAGAACACGCAAACTCAACACAGATAATCACCCAAGGCTGGAAGTAAACCCGCGTCCCTGGTGCTGTAACCACTGAGCCACCTTGCTGCCCCAAATAATGATTGAGAGTAGACTGACTGGGCAGTAGTTGACTGGTTTGGATTTTTCCTGCTTTTTGTTAACAGGATATACCTTTGCAATTTTCCTCATTGTTGGGTGGATGCTAATATTATAGCTGTACTGGAACAGCTTGACTAGGTGTGCCCTCAGTTGTGCAGGCACAGTCTTCAGTACTATTCTGGAATGCTGTAAAGGCCATTGCCTTTGCATTATCCAGCCTTCAATTGTTTCTTGATATCAGGATTTCCCTCCCTAATAGCATTGTGGGTCAACCCACAGCAGGAGGAATGCAGAGGTTCAAGAAGGCAGCTCACCACCACCTTCTCAAGGTCAGCTAGGGATGGGAAAGAAACGTCGGCCAGCCAGCGATGCCCACATCTCACAAAATGAATAGAAAAAAAAAATCATGTGGAGTTAGTTGAATTAGCTGAAGATTGGCATCTATGATGCTGGGGACCTCTGGAGGAGATTGAGATGGATCGCCCGCTTGGCACTTCTGCCTGAAGATTGATGTGAATGCTTTAGCGTTATCTTTTGCACTAATGTGCTGGGCTCTCCCATCATTGATGACGGGGATATTTGTGAAGCCTCCTTTTCCAATGAGTTGTTTAATTGTCCGCCATCTTTCATGACTAGATGTGGCAGTGCTGCAGAATTTAGATCTGATCTGTTGGTTGTGCAATCACTTAGCCTTTTTATCATATGCTGCTTGTGCTGTTTGGCATGCAAGTTGTTCTGTTTTGTGGCTTCACCAGGTTGACACCTCATTTTATGTATGCCCAGCACTGCTTCTGGCATGCTCTAATGAACTCTTCATTGAACCCAATATCTAAAAATATTATTGCAGATAACTGTCATGATCCAGATATTAACTTCATTTCAGCATCAGCCATTGCATCATTATAATGATAGGTGCTTACAGTCTTGCCATCAACACAACTAGAACAGTCTGGGGCAAACACAGTAAATGTAAATCAACAAATCTAACAAAAACATACAAGACTGAATAGCATAAGCATGTGTTACAGAAATATTTACATAAGTTATATTTTCTTACATCTCTTTCGCTTTTTATTCAGGTCTTCTGTTGATGATTTTCGTTTTCTCTGTTGATTTGAGGTCCTCAAATAATTTCCATCTCTAACATTTGTTTTCTCCTTGGTCACAAAAAAACCAAAAAAGTTACTTCAAGGCCTTAAGTATTTATTATTTCCTTTATAATAAAGTATTATACTCACTACATTGTTTTGAGCACTGGTATTCAAGTAATCGGTTCCACCCTCATTGATAGTAACGTTCAATGTATTATCAATAACTAATCGTTGTCCCCTCCAGTACTCCAATGGTGCTTTAATGCAACGACCACTACGGCTGGTCAGTGTACATCTTTGTATTGATGTTTCAGTGGAAATTGTAATCTCTATTATAAAAGAAGTTACAAAAGCCATTTAAACAGTATTAACCATCAGAATTAATGCACATAACCAGTTGTAAGGAAGCAAACATGAGGACATTTAACATACTTCCTGTGGTTGAAAAATGAAAAACAAAGATATTTTCTGAGATTACCAGGACTTAAATTCTAGGCCACTTAATAAATTACAAAATTGGCAAAATCTTTTGAATTGAAGTCTTTTGAATTGAAGTCTGGAATCTTTCGAATTGCTTTTCAGCAACCCCTAAACTGTCCTGAGTGACCTATTGAAAACCTTGCAATACACCTGTCCCCTATTTCTGGGCAGAATTCAAAGTTGCAACATAGCAATTCTTGAATTGAGTGTGCTATATTACAGTTACAGAGAATGCTGGTTTCCTTGGTACAATTGAATACACAGGAAGTGGATTTGATCACGTATAAGGAAAGTGAATGTACTATAGCCACGTTTGCAGATGACACAAAAATAAGTGGGAAGGAAGGTGGTGAGGATGACACAAACAGTCTGCAGGAAGAATAAAGGAACTAATATTATTTAAATAAGGAAAGACTGAAGAAAGCTCCAAAACAGGGATTCGGAAGCGCTTAGAAACCTTGCTGATTTTTCATTATTTTTGTCCTGTTATCACTTTTGAACGGTGAACTGGAAATGACTTGTGGACTTTGAAATAGTTTGTGTAGAAAGAAAAGAGCAGACCAAACAAACTTTGTTTGTTTGTAAAGCCAGACCTGGGGGCTAATTATAGGCTGATTCCTGATTAAAGGGGTTCTAACAAACACAGCGACCTCAAGAAGAGCATTGTTTAAACTGATAGCAGAAGTTGGCTGTTAACAACATCAGTATCTGAGAATTGGTTCTGGCAAATCTGGATGAGACTTCATGCTTAAGTAGATGGCACATGTTGAACACTGACCAATTGAGGCCTCAGGAGGAACCATTCAGTGTATCGGGTAGAACAAAAATTAAAGTTGTTTCTTAATTATGTTTTCTGAGAGATAGTTCTGGACTGCTGGCTAAGACAGCATGAAGATTTGAAAGCTCCCTGCCTGATCTGCTACATCAGCTTCCAGAAGCCCAAAGAGTAAAAAGCCGAGTTAACAGAATTTTTGCCTTTGTCTAGTGAACTTGATCAACATTTCAGAAAAAAAAACAGCCAAACAGTTCACATTTATACTTGTGCAACAACACATAATGAAAGCTATTTTAAAAAATCTGCCAGTTTAGTTATATTCTTTTATTTATCCCTTAACTGCATTTGTCTGTATGACTTTTGTGAGATTGGGGGCTGAAAACAAATGTTTCTGGTTTAAAGCACAGATATTAATCAGCTTATTGTGTAGTTCAAAATTTATGTCTGCTAAAGTTATTATGTTTAGTTAAGTCTTTTGATTAAGATACAAAACCAGCGGCTGGAAATTAAATTTTCATTAAGTCTGGGATTGGTTATTCAAAAGTCTGGTTAGGAACCATTGAAGTAACTATTTGGGGGTCTTCAACGGTTTAATTTTACTGTGTTGCAAATACAGAGTTCGAAAGGCTGATTTGATTTGGCTGTGTCATAGCAAAGTCCTCAAAATGCGAGCATCAAAGTTCACTGGGTAATAGGGAAGGCAAATGGAATGCTGGCCTCCATTTCAAAGAGAGTGGAATATAAAAGTAAGGAGGTTTTGCTAAAACTATACAAGGCACTAGACAGACCACAGCTGGATTACTGCAAACAATTTTGGGTCCGTGGAGGAGGAGGAGGTTGAATAGATTGGGCCTGTATTCATTGGAACTTAGAAGAATGAAAAATAACCTTATGAAAACATACAACATTCTTAGGGGGCTTGACAGGATAGACACGGAAACTTTGTTTCTCCCTGTGGAAGAGTCAGAGACCAGTAGGCATAATCTCATAAGAGGTTGCACATTTAAGATAGAGAGGAGATGGAATTTCTTCTGTCAGAGAGTAGTGAATCTGTGGAATTATTTGCTGCAGAGGGCTGACAAGGCTGGATTGCTAAGAATATTCAATGCTGTGATAGACAGATTTTTAAACAGGACAGAAATTAGGATTATAAGAAATGCAGAGTTTAGGATCATCAGATTAGCCATGATCTCCCTGAGTGGCAAAGAGTTTTGATGGACTAAATGGTCTACTTGGACTTCAATAAGTTTTTCGAAAAGCTCCTGCATGGGAGACTGATAACAAAGGCCATAGAATCTGCATAAATTTGGCAACTGGATCCAGATTTGGCTGAGTGGCAGGAAGCAGAGGGCTATGGTTGAGGGGTGTTTTTGTGACTGGAGGTCTGTGTCCAATTGGGTTCCACAGGGATCAATGTTGGAGCACTTGCAGTTTGTGGTATATAGACTTCAATGCAGGAAGGTTAATCAATAAGATCACAAATGATACAAAAATTGGTGGGGTGGTAAATAGTGAGGACGATTGCCTTAGATTACAAGAGGATAGGGATGGGCTGATCAGTAGCAAATGGAATTTAATCTGGATAAGTGTGAGGTGATGCACTTGGGTAGGACAAGCAAGGCAAGGGAATACATGACGCATTCATGAAGCACCAAGGATCGGAGGGATCTTGGTGTGCATGTTCATTGGTCCCTTAAGGCAGTGGGACAGGTAGGTAAAGTGGTTAAGAAAGCATATGGTGCTTGCCTTTATTATCCAAGGCATAGAGTTGAAGAGTTGGGAGGTCATGCTAGAATTGATAAAGTGTCAGTTAAGCCACAGTTAGAGTATTGTGTGCAATTCTGGAATCCACATTATAGGAAAGTGGTGAATAACATGGAAGGGATGCAGAGGAGATTTTCCTGGACTGGACAGATTCAGTTATGAACAGAGAGTGGATTGACTGGATTTGTTTTCTTTAGAGCAGAGGACACTGAAAGGGGCATGATTGGATGAATAAAATTATGAGGTGCATAGACAGGGCAGATGCGAATAAATGATTCCCCTTGATGGAGGGATCAATGACCAGAGAGCATAGATTTAAGGTAAGAGGTAGGAAGTTTAGTGGGGATATGAGGAAATGTGAGGATGGTAGGAATCTGGAACTCACTGCCCATAAGGATAGTAGAGGCAGAAACCCTCAATATATTCAAGAAGTATTTGGACATACACTTGTGATGGCAAGGCATACCAAGACATGGTCTAAGTGCTGAAAAAGGGATTAAAACAATTAGGTGGCTGTTTTTAACCAGCGCAGACTCAATGGGCCAAAGACCCTTTTTATGCCATAGATCTCTATGAACTCATGACTATGATTTCTGTTCCTGCATCTTACAGGCTTTTGGTCTTAGGTAAAAGCAACATACGTTAATACTTAAGAGAAAAGCAAATTTTAATAGCTCTTATACTTAGAATTTAATGCTTTCCTCGTAAAATTTGAGTCATCTGCTCATTAATTGGAGCCCTTTAGATATATTTACCTGAAATATATTTGTGCATAAACTGTAACAACGAAATCCCAACCCCTATTTTGGTTGGGCTGCAAAGAATGACAAGAGTTCGAGTCAGACCATTTAGGTCACAAAGTTCACTTCATATTTTTCAGTCTCTAGACCACATTAACCTGCTATCTACCATGGCAACTCTGATTACTTGTTGACTTTCCACTGCATCAGTAAAGTTTATTCACTCATGGGAGTGAGATATGGATGTTGCTAGCTGGCTACCATTTAATGCCCGTCCCTAGTTGCCCTTGAGAAGCTGGTGTGAGCAGTCTTCTTTATCTGCTGTGGGTAGACCCATAATGCTCTTAGAATTCCAGGATTATGACGCAACGACAGTGAAAGTGAGGTAACCTGAAAATTGCCAGTGTAATTTTTATACATGCCTCCTAAAAATAGAGTGACCTGCATGGGCTTTCTATCTATCTTTAAACATACATAATTTGATAATAATAACAATGTTCAATTGCTTGAAATATATTCCATCTATTTTATTTTGTCAAGGAAGATGAGTTTATTGGGGAACCTACAATTAGGTGCATAAAAGGGTTTCTGTGGTCTCTATCTGTATGGACTTCTACTCGCATTTAATAAGGCTCTACAGCAAAATAAAATCTCTCAGAATTCGAGGCTACTTTGCAGTGTTGGTTTGATATTAATTGTAACACAGGAGAAGAGAGCAAGGATAGAAGGAATAAATACTCTAATTGGAAGATGTCCCTCATGGTGCTTCACAGGGATCTAAATTGGTGCTTGATTTTTTTCATCATATATATCAATGACTTGGTAGAGGAATAGGGTTGCACATCCAAGCCTGCTGATAACACTAAGTTAGGAGGCATAAGAAGTTGTGCAGACTTGAACAAGAAGTTTTTAATGAACACAGGAATGGACATATACAGAATGAATGAGTGGGCAAAACTGACAAATGGCATTCCTTGTGGGTAAACATAAGGTAAACGCACTTGGATTCAAGAAATATAAATCAAAGCATTTTCTAAATAGTCTGTTAAGGCCTTTTCCCCACAACAAGTTGTAATCATTCCATCTTCTTTACCACACATACGGTCCCCTTCCCCAATCCATACAAATATTTAAAAACTTACCATTATCAATTTTTGACTCTTTTGTTCGCTTTTTCTTTGCTGTCAATTGAGTCTTAGCTATATCATGTGATAAGACTGCATCATCTTGTAAATTTCTGGATTTCACTGAAGGCAACTTTTGAATACTGGCATCTTTAGTCCCTCTTGTGTTTGAATGACAACCTTTTTCCCTAAACGATGAGAATTTTTGATAATTGTTGTTAAGCATGTTAATACTATTTTAACCATTTAATTTATTATTTGGCTGGATTTTTGATGCCCCCATCAGTGAGTCTGCAGGCAGGAGGAGAACATAGAAAATTCACCTAGTACATTCTACAATGCTGCTGGGTCTTTAGAGAATAAATGGCTAATTATGGCATCATTACAAGTATTTTACGTGGTGGTGGTGGTGGCGTGGAGTAGATAGACAGGCTTATGCCACGTAGGAATTTCGTGCAGTTGAAGTGCCATAGCATACAAGGCAATGGACCAGGTACCGAAAAATGAGATGAGAACAAATGGACATGTGATGACAGGCCCAGATATAATGGGACAAACTAAGTTGTAAAAACTCTAACAAATTCAGCCCATCGTGATTTTCCAAAACAGCTTTTATTCCTTCTCTTTATAAAGCATTTATTTCCCTTTTTGAATAGTAACCCAAACATTTCTGCAATAACTGACAGGATCTCATTTTCTATGAGAGGCAATCAACATATTCCAACGTATTTTTCTGCTCCACTTATTCCTGAAGTGAAAGTGTCTGATTATTCTTTGCAATAAGTTTGTTTAGCAATATAACCAAAACATAAGTGTAGAACAATCTGCTGCTATGACGCTGCTTGGCCTGCTGTGTTCATCCAGCCCTGCACCTTGTTGTCTTGAAATACAACCACCTAGACACTTAGCAACTCTGAACAAAAGCATTTACAAAAGCTGTAAATCAGGACCTCTTAACGAGGGTCACAATCTCTAGCAGGGCTTAGAATCCCTAAGGTGCGGAAACAGGCCCTTCAGCCCAACAAGTCCACACTGACCCCTTAGAGCATCCCACCCAGACCCATCCCCATATAACCCACCTAATCGACACATCCCTGAACACGATGGGCAATTTAGCATGGCCAATCCACCTGGCTTGCACATTTTTGGACTCAAGGAAGAAACCGCAGCATCCGGAGGAGATCCACGCAGACACGGGGAGAATGTGCAAACTCCACACAGACAGTGCTAACCACTGAGCCATCCAAATGATTACTAACAGCTTCAATACTCTTTTAAATACTCACCTTTTAAAAAAAACACAATTGACATATACTAATAACAATGTTTGAGGCACTCAACTTACAATGGATATTCTCTCAAAGTATCAATTGGTGCAGAATCATGAAAACCAAATTTTTGGGCGTTAGCTTGGGTTGTACTCAATTTTATGCTTTCTCAGGTCCTTACTGACATGGCAGAAATGGAAAAAACATTATGATTCAACCTGAAAATGTTTGACTTACTGGAAATTAATGCTCCACTAATATGGTGTTTAACGTACTCTTAGCAGTTCCTTTTAAAATTAATTCACTTTATTGTTATGGCCTTGGAATCTGTTAGAATATCCAGAATGGGAAAGTGATAATTAAAGATATGTCAGAACTTTCTATAAATAGTCTTATTTTTGACCGAGGAACTTTACTGAATTCATGTCTAATCTGAGTGCTAGGAGGATATTTTTTCAATATTTACCAAATACACATGAAGCAACAGATGAAAATAATGATGACTACACTGGGCTGTATGGAATGTGACTGAGAGATAATGAGCAATATTTCTATAAAGATTGTTTCCTTAAAAATCTTCCCAAATCAGCTTGATAATTTTCGACTTTATCATAGCAATTTAAGTCGACACAAAATACAGCATAGAATAGGAAGAGTGGCATACCTCCTTTTAAAGAATTCTTCAACATACTCCTTCCAATCCAATGGAAAACCCAAAAAGAAGTGTTTTAAAATGGAATTAGAGAATCCTGTTTTTTCAAAAAAAAAATTAAAAGGATTAAATTTATACCCCAATACTTTCATTATCATTTAAGGTGACAAGGAAATAGTTTAGACAAAAGGCTAATCAAGGGTTGAAAGGAGAAAGGGAATAAAATATGCCATTTCTGGAATTACACATGTTGACATTTTTCATATTTAATTATATAAAATGTTCAATTACTTTCCTAAATTGGCATATATTAACTTACAAAATGTAATATAGGCAGACAACAAGTTGAATCTTTCAAAGTAGATGTGGAACTATTAAAAGAGTCTCCAAATTATGAACTAGGCCTCACAGCTGAAAGAGAGGGCTGAATCAAAAGTATTTTTTGGCTAAGTTCAAGTTGTGTAAGTTTTTTGGAAGATTTTTCATTGCAAATGTTTTCTCACTGCATCTTACCTAACTCACTGTATTAACTACTTACTCCACCCTAATGGTATTTCTCAAGTCCAATTTTTTTGCTGCATCATTCCACATTCCACTCCCAGAGCAGATTGCCACTCAGCAGATAACAACCTAAACACTGGTGTCCCTTGCGTGTGCACCCTTTTTAAAAGGTGGCATCTGGATGAGTACTTGTATTTCCTGGAGGTACTGAGGGGATGGGATGGTGCAAAGGAGAGGAGTGCTATTTTTGGAGAACTGGCAGAAGAAGCCAAGCTACTAGACCGTGCCAGTATTGTCCGAGGTCACCCATATTAGTGCCACCTCCAGGGTGTGGAGAAATATCCAGCAACGCAGAAAGTAAGTCAATTGCTTCTCTGCTTCACCATGTTAAGTGCCAAACTCTGGTCTCTGCTGTCTCACATTCAGTGCTCTCTCTCTGTGAATGCACCCACTTCTCACTTAGGCTCACACTCTGCCACTCTCACTATTTCATGCTTCCTTCTTTCCTTACCTCACTCACCGTCACCCACTCCACCCAACTCTGCACACCACTAATCCTGCATGCCCTACAATTTGCCTCCTCAATCCCTTGGAACACCACACCAGCTTTCCCGCACACACACCAGCCCTAACAACCATGCCACCCATTGCTATCTCATTCATTACCCCACACCATCACCACCACTACCACCCTTCCCCCCCGACTTCTGTCACTTCAGTGGCAGCGATCAACATCTTTAGAAAATCAATCAAGAGACCTGCGAAACAACACATCTTGGAAGCTGCTGAAGTAATCTGGCCAGTTTTGTTATTTTTCCTTTTTAATTCCAAAATATCCCTTTACCCACATTTATTTGTATACCTTTGTGTGAATAGGGCTGAAAACAAAGGTACCACTAAACAAAAAATAAATCTAAAGAACTGCAAATGTTGGTAGTCAGTTAGTTCTGAAGAAGGGTCACTGGACCTGGAATATTAACTCTGCTTTCTCTCCACAGATGCTACCGGATCTGCCAAGTTTTTCCAGTAATTTTTGCTTTGTTTCTGAAAACAAAGGTTACTGGATTTAAATCAGACATTAGTTAACTTATTGTTTCACTTTGCTCTGCTAAAGCTATTGTGTCATTAATAAATTATTAAAGCTATAAACCTGGTGTCTAGTATTGTCTAGTGCTGGTTATTCAAAAAGTCTGGCTAAGAATAAATGAGGTCAATTTTAATGATCATTGAGTATTCTAATTTTACTGTAAAGTCTGATTTGATTTGGCTGTCTGTCTCTGTACTGTAAGAACATTCATGCATTTCTGGTGTCACTATAATAAATTTTCTCTGCACCATTCCAGTATGTTTGTATCATTTTTAATAACATGGCAACTAATACTTCATGCTGTATTCAAAGTCCTGTCACATACAGATTTAACATAACTTGCATACTTTTCATTTCATTCCCAATTAAAGCTGTGCACTTGGATTTCTTCATTATGCCCTTTCTTATATTTGGGGCAATATATTAAGTGAAGTTTCTATTTTTCCTAGTGATGTTGAACTCTAATTGCAATTTATTTGACCACTCTATGAGCCTAGTAATGTTCCAGCAACAATCCTTTCAGAACACCACTTTCTATTTTCTGCCACTTGAATAACTGTCTTGCATGCACTTTCCGCTCTTTGTCTTACCTTAGTTATTTGTCTACTTACCTTGGTTCTTCATTGCAACATAATCCAATGGTCCTTTCAGAACATAAATTGAACCAGTGATAGATTTCACTTCCGTTTGTTTAATTCGTTCAGCAATTACATTACTATGCCAGTATACTCCATCAGTATCTCTGTTTGGGAACACATACATAGTGTTTAATATCAAGTTGAAGAACCTAAAAATATACTTCCGGATACATTGTATAAATTAACCAACTACAAATCCAATCCTAATTCTGACACAAGATCATTGACCTAAGACACTTTTGGAGTGAACTTTTCAGGAGGAGTGCCAAGCCCACCCATGTTGACTTTTAATTGGTCACCTCCTTGTTGATTTTTTTAAAATTAAGGACCATGCATAACATCACGAGGAGTAGGCCGAACAAGAGGGCATGTAGCACTGTCAGGTCAGTGGCTCCACCGGGGAGGTAGATGCTGCTATTGGATGCAGGAGAAGACAAGGATGCCTCAGTGGAGAAGTGCCGTTGGTTGTCTGCATTTAAGTCCTCAAAAAAAGCCTGAGGCTAACAGGATGATTTAAATAGTGGGGCAACATCTTCACAGAGTTGTAACATTTTGGTTCTGGCCTTTCATTTTGACAAATTTATTGTCGGGGCATGGAGTCTCTGTCACCGACAGCCACTCAACATGCCACCAGGAGGTTACCTTGATAGAACTGCAATCTCTGCATACAGCAGGAGTCAGACTTAATGAGGGGAAAATATCAGTGCCATTGCAAAATCGCCCCAAAGTGAGGTCTTAAGTGTTCTAACTGCTTGCTTTTGTGGAAAAGGCAGCTGATCCAAGCTACCTCTGCAAGTTGTCACTGTGAGACAAAAATGCAACAGGGAGCTGTCTTGTCTCCTATTTTGCATCTGTCTCCAACCTCATCTCTATGGAAGCAGGAAAATTTAACCAGGTAACTCTTTATCTCCTTGATGCCTCACTCAGTCGTATGTGGTTTTGATGTTACGTCACCACTAGAATTCAGCACTTTCGTTTGAACCAAGGTTGTAATGAGGTCAGAATCGAATTGGCTAAAGACTGGCACCTATATTTCTAGGGACCACTGGAGAAGGCAGAGATGGCACTTGTGGCTGAAAATTGCTGCGAGTGCTTCAGCCTTATCTTTTGCACTGATGAGTTGGGCTCTTTAATCATGGAAACTGGGGATATTAATGGAGCCTTACCCTCTAGTGAGTTGTTTAATTGTCACCACCATTCATGACTGGATATGCCAGGACTTTAGAGCTTAGATATGATCCATTCTTTGTGGGATCACTTAGTTCTAGCTATCAGTTTCTGCTTTTACTGTTAGGGATACAAGTAGTCCTGTTTGGTAGCTTCACCAGGCTGACAGCTCACTTTTAGGTATGCCTAATGCTGTTACTGGAATTCGTTCCTGCACTCTCCGTTGAACCTAATTAGGAGCACAAGTTTTTAGGAGATAATATATCACCACAACAACTAATTAACAGATCTTTACACCTCTGTTTGGGGAAAAAAAAACTGAAAGGTCCATCAGTGGACATCCAAATAAGTTTCAGCTACAACTATTGTGTTTCTTGTGAAGAAACATGGGAGGGGCGGGAACAGTTCTCAGGGAATTCCTTGTCAGTGTTTTTTTTTGACCTCAGCTCCTTAAATGGAATAATTATCCTATTTTTATCTGCAACTTATTGTACAATATATGAGGGCTTTGCCTAGAAAATAAAAACTTGCAATCATTTGCTTACCTTCAGTCTCAATTTATTAATGTCCAACTTAGCCACACAAATAAATCAGAGGTCCTAGATTTAATGTCAAAGCAACATTAACTGATTGCAACAGGAGGAGCATGAAAATTAGCATCACCACTCTGGATTAGGTAAAACTTGCCACAATACCTGATGCTGATCAATAAAATGATGACTGCCTCTTCGAGATCAACTGCACTGCTTTAAATTGAGCAATTTGTTGACAATACTTACACCATCGCATAGAATGTTTACAGCATAGAAGGGGCCATTAGCGCAATGTGTCTGTGTTTGCAACAATAAATTCAGCTTATCCCTCTATCAATCCCCATAGCCCTTCATATTTTCACCTTCAGGTGTTTATCAAATTAAGTCTGATTATAACCACTTTGACCATCATTCCAAATCCTAACCACTTGCCTAAAAACATTTTGCACATTATCAATAGTTCTTGAAAAGCAGTAAGCCACTTCAGGATAAGGGGTAAAAATGGTGATAGGACAGGAAAAGTACTCTTTAAAGATTTATTTTTCTTTTTTTTAAAACAAAAAGGAAATTACCTTTTTCCTTCTACACAAATCTCATTGCTGCCTTTTATCTGTTGGATGATCCATTTGGTGAGAGTAATCCTTTTCTCCTGCATATTTAAAACAAAAGGTGATACAAAGGTTAAAGAATCTAAGACAAAAATAATTATCAACAAGATAATAACAATTACTAAGTATTGAAGTTATTCAGAGCTTAAAAGATTTCTCTAAAAAACACCTAACCATTATTATCCATTGACCGTCTGCTGCCAGTGGGCTGACATCTCAATTATTTAAATCATAGATATTGTAGGTTATTAGTTAGTTAATGTACATTTCTAGTACTGCTCTTATTGCAATATGGTGTGGTGTTGCCTTCCTGAAACGTCCTGATGATTTATTCACAAAGCCTAATTTCAGAAAATATGGTGAAGGTGTGAAAATAGGTACCAATTGTGGTGTGAAATTTATTTTTGTGTTGGTGTTGTTGGCTAAACCAGCATTTATTGCCCATCCCAAATTGTTCAGAGGACAGTTAAGAGTCAACCACGTTGCTGAGAGTCTGGAGTCACATGAAGGCCAGACCAGGTAAGGATAGCAGTTTCATTCCTTAAGGAACATTAGTGAATCTGATGGGTTTTTCCAACAATTGACAATGATCATTAGATCCTCAATTCTAGATTTTTATTGAATTCAAATTTCACTGTTTGCCATTGCGGGTTTCAAATTCAGGTCCCCAGAACATTATTTGGATTTCTGGATTAATAGTTGATGAATAATACCATGAGGCCATTCTTTTCCCCTAATGTTGACCTGTGCTCAATATAAACAGAGACATTGTCTTCCCTATTCATAAAAAACATAGAAAGTAGTAGACCATTCAGACCTTCATGACCACTCCGCCATTCAATATAATCATGACTGATCATCCACCTCAGTACCCTGTCCCTACTTTCTCCCCAATACCCTTTGATCCTTGTAGCCCTAAGGAAAACATCTAACTCTTCTTGAAAACACTCAATATTTTAACCTCAACTGCTTTCTACGGCAGAGAATTCCACAGGCTCACAACTCTCTGGAGAAGAAGTTTCACCTCTTCTAACTCCTAAATGGCCTACCATGGACCATTAAAACAATGATCCTGGTTCTGGGTGTGCCAGTCATCGGTAACATCCTTTCTGCATTTATCCTGTCTAGACTTCTTACAATTTTACAGGTTTCTATGAGATTCTACATCATTCTTCTAAACTCCAGTGAATATAGTCCTAACCTATTCAGTTTCCCTTTACACATCAGTCCAGCCATCTTAGTAATGAGTCTGGTAAACCTTTGTTGTCCTCCCTCCAGGGTCAGAACATTTGTCTTCAGATAAGAAGATCAAATTTGCACGCAATATTCCAGATGCGGACGCAAGCAAGACTCCAGGAGGTACCAAAGTACCAATCCATATTGGTACAAACAACACAGGCAGAAAGAGACTTGGAATCCTACAAACAGAATTTAGGGAGTTAGGTCGGAAGTTTAAAACCTCTAGGGCACTCTAAAGGTTGCAATTTCAGGATTACTCCTGTGTCACGTGCTAGTGAAGCTGGAAATAGGAAGATATTACAGTTGAATGCATGACTAAAGACCTGGTATAGGATGGAGGGATTCAAATGTCTGGATCATTGGAATCTATTCCAGGGCAGGTGGGACCTCTGCAAGAATGTTGTGTTGTACCTAAACTGGAGGTGCATCAATATCCTTGCAGGGAGGTTTGCTAGGGCCACTCGGGAGGATTTAAACTATTGTAGCAAGGGAGTTGGATCCAAAGCATGTGAAGTGTTTGATGAGAAGAAAGAGGCTAAATCAAGTAAGTCTAGTAGGAAGAACAGGCAAAGCCAAGTTACTGAACATGGTGGGACTAGTGGTCTGAAGTGTACTTATTTTAATGCAAGGAGTATAACAGATAAGGCAGATGAGTTTAGAGCCTGAATTATTGCATTGGACTACTGGTGGTAACATGACAGAAGCTTGGTTGAGAGAAGGGCAGGACTGGTTGCTCAACGTTCCGTGGTTCAGATGCTTCATGTATGATAGAGATGGATGTAAAAGGGAAGTTGCATTACTATCAAGAAGAATATCACAGCTGTACTAAGAGAGGTCGTGGATGGCTCATCCAGTAAGGCCACATGGTAGGAATAAGAAAGGTGCAATCACTATGATAACGTTATACAATATGCCTCCCAAGAGCCAGCGGGAATTAAGGGAATAGATAGGTAAGGATTGTATTAGTAGGTGATTTTAATTTCCCCAACATTCACAGGGACTCCCTTGTGCCAGCGGCTTAGATTGGACAGAATTTGTTAGATGCATCCAGGATGGATTCTCGAAACAATATATGTAGTTTAACTAGGGAAGGTGCTGCATTAGATCTTGTCTTGGGAAATGAGTCTGGCCAGATGACTGAAGTTTTTTTGTGGAAGCATTTTGAGAACAGTGATCATCTTTCTGCAGTTTTAAGATAGTTATGGAAAAGCATCAGACTAGACCTTGGGTGAAAGTGCAAAACCAGGGGAAGGCTAATTACAAAAGTATTAGGCAGGAACCAGAAAAACCAGAAACCAGCTGTTCGAAGGCAAATCCACACCAGACACGTGGGGTTTTTTACCTATTCATTTGTGGGATGTGAGCATCACTGGTTGGCCAACATTTCTTGCCCATCCCCAGTTGCCCTTGAGAAGGTGGTGGTGAGTTGCCTTCTTGAACCGCTGCAGTTCACTAGCTGTAAGTTGACCCACAATGCCGTTAGGGAGGGAATTCCAGGATTTTGACCCACCGACATAAAAGGAACGGTGATATATTTCCAAGTCAGGATGGTGAGTGGCTTGGAGAGGAACTTGGAGGTGGTGGTGTTCCCATATGTCTGCTGCCCTTGTCCTTCTAGATGGAAGTAGTCGTGGGTTTGGAAGGTGCTGTCTGAGGATCTTGGGTGAATTTCTGCAGTCCATCTCGTAGATAGTACACACTGCTGCTACTGAGCGATGGTGGAGGAGGGAGTGGATGCTTGTGAATGTAGTGCCAATCAATCAAGTGGGCTCCAAGCGGGAGTCTTTTAATAGCCAGTTGATCAGTGTTCAGGACCTGCATGTTCCTGTGAAGATGAAAAGATAGCAAGATTTGGGAACCTTTGATGACAAGAGATGTTGCAAATTTAGTTAAAAAGATAAAGGAAGAATAAGTAAGGCTTAGGAAACAGAAATCAAACAAAGCCCTTGAGGAGTATAAGGGAAGTAGCAAAGAACTTAAAAGATATGAGGAGGGCTGGAAGGGACCATGAAGTGTCCCTGGCAAGTTGGATGAAGGAGACTCTCAAAGTATTTTATATGAGTATTATGAGCAAGAACAAAGGTAGGCCCACTCAAGGAGAAAGGAGGGATTAATGCATGGGATAAGACGAAGTGGATGAGGTCCTTAAGTACTTCATATCAGTATTGACCAAGGAGAAAGACACGGATGGTGGCAAGTTTAGAAAGAGGTATGTTGATGCTATGGGGCATGTCAAAAAGTAAGAAGGGGGAGGTGTTGGGTGTTTTGAGAAACATTAACGTAGATAAGTACCACAGTCAGATGGGCTCTATCATAAGATACTGAAGGAGGCAAGGGAGGAGATTGTTGGGGCCTTGACAAAGATCTTTGTTTCCTTTTTAGGCACAGGCAAGGTCCTGGAAGACTGGAGATTAGCTGATGTTGTTCCTTTGTTCAAGAAGGCGAGAGGGACAACCCAGGTAATTATAGGCTGGTGAACCTTCATAACTGGAAGGGAAATTATTGGAAAAGATTCTTAGGGACAGCATTAGGAGAAGAATGGACTTATATGGGATGGTTAGTATGCCTTTATTCTGGGTAAGTCTTGTGTCATCTCACAAACTTGATTGAGTTTTTTGAGGACGTGATGAAAATGATTGATGAGGGTAAGGCATCTACACGGACTTTGCAAAAGTATTTGACCAGATTTCTCAAGATAGGCTGGTCCAGAAGGTCAAATTGCAAGGAATGCATGGCGAGCTGGCAAGTTGGATACAAAGTTGGTTTGGCCATAGAAGACAAAGGGTAGTTGTGGAAGGGTGTTTTTCCGAATGAAGGTCCACGACCATCAGTGTTCCGCAGGATCGGTGGTGGGCTTCTGTTGTTTGTAATATACATAAATGATTCAGATGCAAACATTGATGGTTTCGTTAGTAAGATTGCAGATGACATGAAAATTAGTGAAGTTGTGGTTAGTCAGGAAGGATATCAAATATTGCAGCAGGGTATAGATCAGCTGGAAAGTTAGGTGAAGTGGCAGATGGAGTTTAATCCAAACAAATTGTCAAGTGATGCATTTTTGGAGGTCGTATGCAAGACCAAAGTATACTGTAAATGGCTGGACCTTTAGGAACACTGATATAGACAGGGCCTTGAGGTCCAAGTCAATAACTCCCTGAAAGTGGCAACACAAGTGAATAAGGTGGTAAAGGAGGCATATGGCATTCCTGTCTTCGTCACTTGGGGTATTGAGTATAAACGTTGGCAAGTCACGTTGCAACTGTGTACGACTTTGGTCTGGCCACATTTGAAGTACTTTGTGCAGTTCTGGTCGTTGCACTATAGGATGGATGAGGAGGCCTTGTAGAAGATGCATAGCGGGTTTCCCAGGATGTTGCCTGGATTGGAATGTATTACCTATAGGACAGGTTGGACAAACTTGGATTGTTTTTGCTTGAACGTTTGGAAGCTGAGGGGCGACATGATAGAAGTACACAAAATTATGACAGGCATGACAGACTGGATGGTTGGAGCCTTTTTCCAAGGTTGGAAATGTCAAATACCAGGGGCATAGGTTTAAACTGAGATGGGGAAAGTTTAAAGGAGATAAGCAATCTAAGTTTTTTTAAAACAGAGGTGGGTAATAGATGCCTGGAAATCGCTGGCAGGGGAGGTGGTAGAAGCAAAATATGATACCAAAGTTTAGTCAAACACATGAACAGGCAAAGAATAATAGAATACAGACCATGTGCAGTCAGATGAGATAAGTTTAGAATAGCATCATGGTTTGCACGGACTGGTGGGACAAAGGATCTGTTCCTGTGCTGTGCTGTTCAATGTTCTGTGTGGACTCACAAAGATCCTTTATATTTCGACAAGACAAACCTGCTCCCACACTCAAATACTCTCGCTATGAAGGCTAACATTCCATTTACCTTCTTCACTGCCTGCTGCACCTGAATGCTACAAATGGCAAAAAAAGGTTCAAGGGACTAAATGGCTACTAATTTGTATGTTAGTATGTATTGGAAACAAAGCACAATATTCTGGAAATAATCTAGGTCAAGCTACACTTCTCTTTTCTCTAAGAATTCTGCCTGAATTGTTGAGTACTTCTAGCATTTCTGCTTCCAATAATGGAATTTTAATAGCTCATATTTGAGCATTTATTATTTATTGTTACATAGACTAGCTGAAAATGTTGAAAAATAGGGACAATATTTGGCTTAATTATCCCACTATTGACTTGTCATTGTTCATCATCTGGCCTCATACTAGAATAGTCATTTGAATAATTGTCTAGAATTCATAAAACTATAACCTTTAGGAAAATTTGGGGGCTTGGATAGAATAATTTAAACTGTGCTTGCTATTTCAACTAGTTTGCAACTCTGACAGAGGTGTAAACATTAGCTAAACTGCATGATGTGCGAACTATTCATTCATGTTTAATCCTCGAAGATGTCCCAAGAGCAAGTCCATTCTGGTAAGGCAGACTATGATGATGATATTTGTCCAGGCACATACTTGCAACGGCAGGCCTTTCAGTTTTATTAAAGAGTGAGATTTTGATGCAAAAGAGTTGCTCTTAATGGAAGGCACTGTCATCAATCCCCAAATTTTGTAATCTGATAAAATGCAACAGAAGTGTTTCAATTTACAAGTAACTACAGAATTAATCATTACATAGTCCTGTTCAATATTTAATTACATATATGCTATGAGACAACGAATGTTTTACGTATTAATCTCAAATTGTAAGTTAAATAAGTACATTTGTATAATTTTATTCTGTAATTGCAAAACCCTAAATGTTGTTTAATTGAACACAATTGTAATATATGCACTTTTAATGTTACACCAATTTCTTATGAAATGCACAAATTTCAACGATCAGCTGCAACAGAAAAACTTTTACATTTACATAAAAATTCTTAAAAATTAATTCTGTAAACAGTTAATCTATGTGTTTGTCTTTTTATTTTGCTTACCGTTTTAGTTTTCAGACCATCAACATCCTCAGGTTTTGATTCTGCTACTTCTTGTCTTCTTGGTATATTGATTTTTGGTGATGTCAGCAAGATGTTACATAAATTCTTACACTCTTGAATATCATTATTTTCTTTTTCGGAATGCTTCGACCTTGTTTGCATTTTTTCACTATCTGGATGGACAATCTTTTGCAAGGAGGAAGCTCTCACATCTGTGAAGTCCTGGATTGCACTTCTTTTACAGTTGGTCTGGTTGTCAGTAGAAACTGAGTTTAGTCCCACATCCTGAGACATTTCATTGTCTCCCTCATTGCCATTATCAGTATCCTCTTTCAAATAAGTAGCATTCCAATTTTCAGTTTTTTTGACAGTGTTATCAACACTTGATATCCTTGTGCTCTTCTGCGGAGCTTCTATACTTTCTGTGGGCTGTTTATTTGACATGCTTGATATTGAAAACGTTGCTCCATGTTGATTACTGTGCAGGAATCCCACTATTATCCAAAGTATGAAAATCATTAGGGTAGCAGATTGAGAATATAGTAAAAACTCAACCAAATCACCACCCCACTCACAAATGCCCATTATTAATATAACTAGGAATCTTAGACAGACTTAAAGGTCCTAAACATTCTGCATGTGCAGCTGGACTGTATCCCACTATACTGAGAGAAAACATAACATTCAAAGCATTACCAACCATTATAAGTTACAATGAAGCTGAAGATACATCAGCTATATTTGAAAAGTATGACAAATAGACATATAGTGGAACTGGAAGTGAACCTAAGTTGATATGCAGATAATAAACAGTTAATGTACTCAGAAGGAAATAAATCCTGCCTGACCAACATTCTTCATTTGAATATCTCAAGCGACAAGCTCTACAGTTGTTCATAAATTTTAAATGTCATTTAATAAAATTTCACATTTCTCATTAAACTTAAAAACATTAGACTCTAGACCAAGCAGAGTTTTTAGGAGACTTGTGTTGGTGGAGAAGAAATACTCAGAATAGTGTCACAGAAGGTGTTTGAATCATAACTGTTTTCTAACTCAGATAAATTATTTGACTGAGAAACCCAATGCAAATTGGTCAAATTTACCTGCCAAACTAGAAAGAGTGGCGAAATCAAAGGAAACAGGTCAGAAGTTACAGAATGCGCCAGTGAAAATGCTGAAAGACTCAAGACAGCTTTTAGTGTCTGATTACTCAAAACAACTAACCAATGCAAAATAGTATTTAGCAAAGCCAACAAATGTTACTTTGTACCAGCTAAGTAGTGGAACAGATGTCATAGTCATTGGATATGAACAGTACAAAGAGATATTAATTTTAAAGGTTAAAAGTAAATCAAAAAGCTCATACAAATGAGCACAATTGATACTGAAAAGATCAAGCAGTGTCATAATTCTTTTTATGCCAGTAGACTTCTTGTTGGCCAGTGTCCCACAACTGCAATCAAATATACATGTGGTCAGCAGGAGTGACTAAACAATCAGGATGAGAAACATAGTTGACATTTCCTTCCCTAATAGTGGCATGGCCCACCACTGAGATTGGTTAAGTCAACAGAACAAGGGTCACTCCTGAACTCTAAGTCTACACAACTCTTTGATGATTTCAGGTCGTACACCGAAACTCTCAACTGTAGGAAAGCAGAGAGAAATGCCTTCAAATTGTCCACTTTCCATGCTAAGATGCTCATTATAGATTGGTTACATTACTTTTCATGGATACATTGTAAAATTACCATCATACTTCACCATAATATTTCTAATCTTCCAAAATTAATTATCTCTGGAATCATTTTCCTGTAATACAATATAATCCAATATTATTATTTCCCTTTCAAATGTTTTCCCACTCTTGTTTCTCTGACTCCAGTTTAAAAGAAAGAGACCTGAAACTTCTTGAAGATTGAGAGACTTTCTGTTATTATGAAAATTGCAGTGAAGGCAAATTTGGATGCATAATCCCTGAACAAAAGATTTACCATTTTATGGATGGGGAGAGAGACACTAGATCATGGGGATGGGATCTAATTTCCGCATTCATGGTCCACAGTAGCAACTGAGGAGAAAATACAGCTGCCAAAGGCTGATCATATTTTCGCTATTGAAACATGCAAGAAAGACTTGTCAATTTTAGACCTGGTTGTTGAAGGTCTAAAGCTGCTGGACTACTTTGGAGAGATAGGCATCCTTTTGAATGTGGTCTCAAAATATTTCTGGGCAAGGTCCAGCTCCATTTGGGACAGATAAAGCGCCCTCTGAAATTGCGAAAAGCAGATATGAACATCTGTAAAAAGTAAACAAATTCATTGAAACGATCAAGGGAGCCGACAAACTGTCAAGAGATTTAAAACTCCTGCCCTTTAAATATTTGACAAAAAAAAAACCCATGTTTAGTGTTTTTAAAAAATGCTGACTATTTTACTCTGTGTGGTGACACATGCCTGTGGATTATCATAACAAGATTTGTCCTACATGATTAATTTCAAAACTTTGCATTGTCACAGAAGAGTGCTGGTCACCTGATTGTTTGATTGACGGCACCAAACAGTCATAAACTGAGGTTGGACATAAATTCCAATGTTTACTTTTATAAAGGATTAAAGAATGTTAAATGTAGTGAATAGATTTTAACAACTGATTGTAGTTTTATTTTTCAATAGTTAATTAATTGAAATGACACACCTTTATTTAATACCAGCATGGACGCTGAGGTCTGGCATGGTGTGTGTAAGGGCACAGGGTGGAGCAGAATAGATTGGCACTGAGTTGGAATAGGATCTGTAATAGGATATTGGGGCGTGTGGAAAGGTATGAATATTAAGAAAGACTCTGAGTGGGGGTGAGGGCATGAGGATCATGAATGAGGTATGAGTTAGTGAGGGTTGAGAGGGACAAAGATTGTGTTTGTTTTATTGTACTTTTCCTTAGATTCAGCAAAATACTGGTTCTCCTCAGCCTAACTCTGCACTGTCTCTAAGGTTGCTCACCATGACTACCATTTTATTTCCATCTGCTGCCCAAACCAAATTCAAACGTGCAGAGGCACTTATTCCCCAGGTCAGGTTTGCACAGTTAGGAAATGGACCAACTCTGTTCTGAATCCAGAAATTAAAAAAAAAAAATCAGATCATACTCTCCAGTCCCAAGCATGAAAATCGTATTGCCATTCAACTCATTCATAAGTTTTACTCATTTATATCTTGGACACATACAAGAAACCCCGTTGCCACCTTGCAGATTAACAGGCTGCTTTTGCCAGACTGGAGAGGATGGAGAACTTAACCACCACTTTAAAAAGAAATGGAAATAACTGAAATTAAACGATTTTACATCAAATATTTTCTCACCTAGTCAGTAGAACATCTGCAAATTATAAGAGATAACTTTAATGAACAGTTAGATTGGACTAATCAGGGATTGTAAATGTGGATACATAAGGAGTAATTTATGTCCACTGATTATCTGAATTCAAGGTAATTGTCAAATGTATACTTAAACAAAGGAAGTATACTGAACGAAGGCCCAGGATCAATGGACAGACTCTTGCCTTCCATTCTAAAAGTTGAGAGTTCATGTCCAATTTCAGCAACTTGAACATATAATCTTGATGGACAATTCAATCCACAGTTTAGGGAATTTTGTGTTCAGAAATGAAGTCTTTTGACAAAATGTGAAACCAAGACCGCCCTCTCAGGTCAAACTCAAATGTTGCAGAGCACTATCTGAGGTGTGTTCACTTGGTATCACCTTTATTACAAAATTGCATTGTTAAGACAAGTTGCCTGGTCATTTTTTATTGCTGATTATAGAACTTTGCTGGAGGCAAACCGCTTGCACAATTTCCCAATTTTACTCCAGTGACTATCCATAGGAAATTTCTTGTGGCAAGTAAAGCCTACAGTTAAGTCGGCTAAAATCATGCAATAAGAAATTGCATGAAGATAGTAGGAATAGTCACTTAGAATTTACATTTTCTCATTTTATTTTTGTCCTTATGTCCAACTTGGGTTAAGGTGGTTTGATAACCTCACAGTTTGGTATTATCTTATCAAAAATAATGTCATGCATCATACAAATCAGTTATGCACATAGATTCGAACTTTCAAAAATATTATTATTGGGTAAGTTCAACAGATCAAAGGACTATAGACATCATAAATGGATACGAAATAACACCATTAGACTTTACCTTTATACTCTGAAAGTTTAACTGAAGCCAATGATGCACACTGATTGCCTTGTTTCATTTGTAAAAAGATTTTGGCTGGGGATTGTTGCATCACAGGAGCATGGTCCTTCTTTGGTGAAGACTGGCAACCAACTGGCAGAGTTGGGACTATAAATAGACCACAAGTTTATATCAATACAACTACATCTTACACGAATATCTAAACACAAAAACATTGTATATAATTGTGTAAAATGGATCAAAATAAACTAGTAGCCAAACAAATCCACAGAACAAATAAGAAAGGATGATCTAGTGAGAATAAAAGTGAGTGATCAACAGGTAGACCACATTAAGCCCCTGCATCTTCTACTCAATGCAAGAGGGCTATTTAATCTATGGTTAGCATCATTAATTGTTGAAGTTAACCAACTGAAATAGGCTCTATACACCTAACATGGGGCAACAATTCAATATTTGAGCTACAGATTTCAATCTTCTATGCTTGGAAATCTAACAAACACTCATTCCCAATAAATAGATTAGGGATAAGCATTTTTTTAATTCATTAGTTTTAAGATAATCAAGCTAAAACTGCAACATTTTTAAGTGCCAGCAAATTGATGGCAATAAAAAAAAAGGCACCTCCATTTGTCCCTAAGTACTGTAGTATGGAATGTTTGTGTATAGATCAAGCATTTTTCAGCCTCACCCAGAGTACTGCATCAATTTCTGGGTGCTACACTTTAGCAATGATGTGAAGGTCTTGGAGAAAGAAAAGATTAACGGGATGGGTGCAGGGATGAGGAGTTTCAATTATGATGATAAAGTGACAAAACTGAGTTTTGTTTTCCCTTGGAGAAGAGAAGGCTGAAAGGAGACCAATTTGAAATATTCACAACCATGAGGACACTAGACAGCAGAACAGGGAGAAAATATTCCCACCTCATGAAAGGAGCTAGAATGAGAGAGTACAGATGAAAAAGTAGCAAAAGTGAGTTGAGGAAATTCTATCATGCAGTGAGTGGTTAGAGTCTGGAATGCACTGCCTTAGAACGTGGTGAAGGCAGATTCAATTGAGGCATTCGTAAGAGAATTAGACAATTATTTGAAAAGAATGATACTTAAGATGCTAATTTTGAGCCATGTTGAGCTAAATGATTTCCTGTGTGCTGTAGTAATTTTTTGACTTTTGTTCCGCACTGGTAGTACTACATTTTTAAGGAGTTGAAGTGTGTTGTATTTCTCTCTAAAGGGTATTGCTGTTTAGCATTAAGGGCTGATATCATTTGTGCAAAATTGTGCAGTACACTCACTGGATAATTTGTTTATTAGCGCCAGAAAAATGGACACCTCTAATTTCTGAGTTTGTTAACAATGCCAAGATGGCTGCCACTACCCACACAGATGGTGCCAGTGATGTCAAGTCACCTGGCTGCAACAGGGCCTTCTTCAACAGGATGTATTTGCAAATGTGCAAATGGGAGCCCCTGCATCAGCACCTTTACAGTAATGTGGCACAGCAAAGTTGTATTCCTGTACTTTTGCAGTCATTGTTTGGTAATTGAAGAGCAGTTATCTTTAGAATCCCTACAGTATGGAAACCCTCTGAACAGCATCCCACCCAAACCTATCCCCTTAACCTATCCCTGTAACCCTGCATTTCCCATGGCTAATGCACCTAACCTACACATCCCTGAATACGATGGGCAATTTAGCATGGCCAATCCACCTAACCTGCAAATCTTTGGACTATGGGAGGAAACCTGAGCACCTAGTTTAAACCCACGCAGACACGGGGAGAATGTGCAAACTCCCCACAGACAGTCGTTCAAGGGTCGAATTAAACCAGCGTCCCTGGCACTGTGAGGCAGCAGTGCTAACCACTGAGCCACAATGCCGCCTATTTCATCACCTAGCGGTGGTGTCAATAAACATAGTTCTCTAATTTAGATTTACTTAAATGTGGGAGAAAAGTGTCACGAGGACAGGACAAGAGAGGATTAATTAAATAGATCTATGAATAAGCCTGCACCAGTGCAATGGATCCAGTAGTCGCCTTTTGCATTGCATGATTCTATGAAGCAAACTGTGCAGTGCAGTTTAATGTAAAGCTGAACCTAGATGACTGCAATGCAAATTGTATCATGCAGCTAAAGCATCAGAAACCTGTTCTAATAGTGGACTTCCCGAAATTGAAAAGGTGGAGTTTTCAAGGATGGTATCCTTTACATGAAGGAGGGCATAATGGGAGATAGGTCATATTCTAGAAAGTAATACAGATTCTGGGATAGGTTGGGAATTGTGGTTGGAAGTTTAGAGAACCTCTAACACAGTGGACAGGGAGGGAAACAGCTGACTGAATGTTTTCAATCATATGTAGAAAGTACGACCCTTGCACTTATTGTTGGGGGTGGAGGGAGTTTAAGAAGGTGGCTAGCTGTCAAAAGATTACAACTTACAGTTGTGGCCACTCATTATACTGCAAGTAGAGGCTAGCATAGAATCAATGCCAACTCTCTGTGGAGCAATCCAATAGCCCCATTATCTGTTATCTTCCCATAGCCCTGCAAATTTATTTCTCTCAAATACCTGCCTAGTTTTCTTTTGAAATTATTCATTGTCTCCATTTCCACCACCCTCACAGGCAGAAAGTTTCAGGGAAATAAATCTTACACTACATACCATCTGCATCTCATGACCACTGCGTCTAACGGAGATTTTCAAAGGTTTGTTTTATTTGAAAAGATTTGAAAAGCAAGACCAACCCTGTGGCAGGCTCAACTGGGAAACTGAGAACTGGCACAGCAACGGCTTCAGGTAGACACAAAGCGAGTACAATGTAGTACAACTGAAGAGAATGTGCAATTTTCAGTGTTAGGCCAGGAAATAAGAAAGATGCCTTGTTATAAAACAATTTTACACAGGAAGTCTACGAATTTAAAACGTCCCAATACCATTCTGTAATCTTTATACACGATTTATTTTCTAAGTAGAAATTTTTAGAATACCCCCAAGTAGCATGGTCATACACATTTACTTCTCAACTTTAACCAATTACATTATGTCCTCACCATCTTCAAGCTATCCTCTTTTTAACAAAAAATGTCTTCTTTAATCAGTATTGTCACTTCTGAGGTGACAGTGACTGCGTTTGACACCAAGTAACACTGACCAAGAGTTACATCAAGGAGCCATTTCAAAATATAATCAATTGAGATCACAAAGGAAACACTTTTTTAGCTGGAGTCAAACTCAGCACAAAAGAAGATGACACTGTAGTTGGTGAAGGTTAATCTTTACATTGTAGGAGTTTCATTAGATGGTGGCTTAGGCCCAAACATTTTTGGACACTTATCAATGGCTTTCTCTCCATAAGGTCAGAAGTGGTGATTATTGCAGTGCTCCGTTTCATTGGTAATTCTTCAAATAGTGAAGAAGTTTATGGTCACAAGCAACAAGAACTTGGATTATTAACTGACTATTAACATTTGCACCCTCAAATACTAGGCAATAAAAATCTTCAAAAAGATAGACCATATCCACGTCCCCTTGACATTTATTACCGTTATCATTACATGCCCTACCATAAACATCCTGGGATCAGCAGTGACCAGAAGCTTAATTAGATCAGCCTCATAAATACTGTGGGTAAAAGAATGGGTCAGATGCTGAGAATTCTCAGCTCCTCAAAGTCTTTCCGTCATCTTCAAGCCACATATTAGGACTGTAATAGGATATTCCCCATTTGCCTAGGTGACTGCAGTTCCAATAACACTTGTGAAACTTTACACAACAACAGCAAAGCAAGCAGCGTGAATGTACCCATCACCTTAATGTTTTAAAATGAATTTGTACATGGTATGCAGGTACCAATGACAGGGCCAGTTTTATTGCTGTTCTGTAATATTCACCTGTTCCACCACCAACACACAGTGGTTGTAGTGTGTACACACCTACATCAGCTTGCCAAGGCTTCTTCAACAGCACCTCCCAAATGCATGACCTCTACTGCATAGAAGGACAAGGGAGCAGGTATATGGCACACCTGGAAGTTCCCCCCAATTCACACACCACCCTGGAAGCTCCTTGCTACCCCTTTATTGTCACTGGATGATAACGTATGAAGTCCTACGTAACAATGCTGTCAGAATACCTCCACGTCAAGGATTACACTGGAGGTGTAAAGCAGCAGCTCACCAGTACCTTCTCAAACAGAATTAGATACAACAGTATTCTGAATTCCCACCTTTTAATGGATGATTTCTATATTCCTTCCTGCCCCACAGCCATGACTTCCTGACAAGTATAATATGCAAGTTTCTTAGCAACTCAGATTTTATTAGAAATAGGTACTGCTTTAAGCATTCTAGCTGTGGTGTATCCTTCTTTATTCTAGGATACTCTGAGGAAGTTGAATTTGTAGTTGAATCATTTCTAAAGCAATGTTACGTTGTGCTTTTAATGTTTGCTGGATGTTCCAAAACATTTTCTAACCAATGTACTTGCTTGTGATTAAGCAAACACAGCAGTGCAAAATCTCATTATATAAAGAAGAAATAAAAAGTTTCTCTCTTTTGGAGGTTAACCTTTCCCCTTAGTTTGCCACTGCTTATGAATACAAGTAATGGGGTGCTCCTGGAATTGACAACTTGTGCTACAACTGAGCCAAACTGCGGTGGTGTTAGATGTTTTGGATTTCTTATTCAAGAATTCATCAAGGTTAATTCTTTTATTTGTTTTAATTTAATACTAATCAGTGATTTCTTTTGCCATTGTATTGAAAACAGGTACAACTTCAGCTTATTTTTAGTACCTTGTATTTCACTGGATAAACGTTGTTGACTCAACAGGTCAATAAGCAGTGTTACTGGACCTGCAATCCAGAGGTTCAGGCTAATGCTCTAGGGATATGGATTCAAATTCTATTGTGGCAGTTGGTGGAATGTAAATTCAACTAATTAATACATTTGGGAAAACCAACCTCAGCAATAGTGACAATGAAACTATTGTTGTTTGTCATAAAAACCTAATCTGATTCACCAATACCCTTTATGGATGAAAATGATCACTTTTATCTTTTGATCTGGTTTAGATGCACCTCTTAACTATCTGCAATATGGTCGACTCTTAATAGCCATCTCTATAAAAGTCACTCAGTTGGGTAAAACTGATATAGAAAAGATGAACCAGATAGATTGCAGCAACTCAAGGTAGCTCAGTGACAGCTTCTCAAGCACAGTTGAGGATAGGCAACATATCCTGGCCAGCAACACGTTCATCCATGAAAGGAGACAATTGGTATTTAGATTTTCTTTTGTTAAATAATGATTGAATGATGCGGAGAACAAAATTAGACTGTCTCATCAATTATTGATGAACCTGTACATGCTGCTAAATACAAGTAGCTGGGTTTAATGATAAAATAAACAAAATATTAAATATGCATAGCCCTGAATAATAATCAATATTCAGTTAGTATTAGTTCATACCTGAAAATGTGTTTTCTATTACACGTCCATTCACAGATGCAACAGCCCCATTCAAACCAAAAGATTTTTTTGGGGGGGTTTGAAGATGGTGATTTTCAGTTATCTGAAGATGATCACAGTGAAGTTTGTCTTTCATTTTTTGGAACATTTTGGCAGGACTCTCAGAGACTATTTGTTTGATCAATGTAGATCCAATCGGATTTAAATGAGATTTGACGTAACTCTGGTTTAATTCCACAATAGATTTTGATTCAAAAAGTGTATCAGGAGGAATTACATGAAACATTCCCTCATTTTCCAGGACTGTGGATTGAAGTTGACGAGTTACTTGATGATTTTTCTTAGCTTTTAATGAGATTATAGGGAATGTGTCTGGAGGTTTCAGGTTGGTATTCTTTTGTTGGATACTTGCTGAAACACATGGAAGTTTATGTAACTCTTTTAATGGGGTACCGTTTGGAATCTGATGAAGAGGTACTGATTTCCAGGCTGTTTTCTGTTCTCTGTCCATTTCAGTGTTGTTGAAAATGGTCTTCTTGCATGGAGTAACAGACACCATACTGAAAAAGAATTATTTTCCTTTTCACTTCCACTGTTTTTCACTGGAAATTTATATCTTACACATGCATCTGTAAATGATCAAAAACTAACCATACGTCTCAAAAACTGGGTATCCATGCTGGATTAAAAATCTGTGCAGTAAAAAAAATACTTTTAGTTACCTAGCAAAACTGCCTTGTGTGCCCTCAAGCTCCTCCCTCCCCCAGTCCAACAGTATCAAAAGCCAGCAATACTTAAAATTATGTCATTAACACAACAGCATATGAAAATTATTCAAATTGGAACTCTGCATGCAAGTAGGAATAAGATGTAAATTATTTGAATTCCAATCCATTACAAAGTGGTTAATACAATTAACTATTTTTAGTAATTGAGTAAAAAATAAGTTAAAAAGGCAGCTTTAAGTCCCGGAAGCTGACACCATCCTCAGTAGAACATGATTAATCAAATGTTTTTAACTTTCCCACTCTCTCCGCTTGTACTTGTTGACATAGACATTATGGAACAGTAACTTACTTACCCTTCTTTTAAAATTAATATGAATTAACTTTTTTTCTGGGAAATTATCCTTAGGGAGAAAATACATTTTCTTGAATCTTCAACTCTGCTCAAGGTTTGAAAGTTTTGTAATTGTCCCTTCTAATCTTATACTAATTAAATAAATTATTTTCCTCACTTTTGTGTTATCTATATTTCACAGCTTTGTCAGGAGTTTGCTGCACTACCTAGTATCGAGTAATACAACGACAAAGTATTACGGTATAACAATGAGGACTCCATTCTCTACTGACCTTCACCATCCCCTTTTATGGATGTTAAGTGCAGGAAGTTTGGCATTTTGACCAAAGGCAATTCAGAATTTCCTATCAAGTCTGCTATCAGGTATTGAACATAGGAATCAGACTAGGCAATCTCACACTATCCAAGGAATACTGGTTCTCCCACTAGCAGGTGTGAATGCTGGTTGGAAGACTGAAACGAGGAAACAGAGTACCTTTGGACCCCGATCATTATGGGTAACAGTTTTGACAGCTGGCTCATTAACTCTCTGGTGAGATTTTTAACATATCATTTTTTCTGACTTAGTGACAACAAATTTCTTCCAAGATTACAGCATGGATGCCGGGCTTTTAAGGATTAATTTAGAATTTCAAAACAGCAGCAGCAGCATGACTGACATAGCTGCTAAACTGGGTCTGCAGTAGGTGGTGAGAGAAACAACACTATGGCTTAAACCAAAAAATGCAGCATGGTTAAGTAGCTGATATTCACCATCATGCCACTTCAGTTTATTTGCTCACGTTGGCCTGCATGTCAGGACGAAATCTATGCTGATCTTCCAGTTGTGCCAAGTTTCCCAATAAACTCTTGACCTCACGCTGAACTGTGAAGAACTAGTGCTAATTCAGCAGAAATAAACAGAGAAAGGAACTTGAGAAATAGGGATAGAAGTAGACCATACGGCATATCGATCCCGCTCCATCACTCATTACAATCATGACTGATTTTGGGCATTAACTTCACTTTCACATCCACTAACGATACACTTTTTCAATTCACATGCAGGATGCAGGTGTTGCTGGCTGAGTTGAACAACATTGCCAGCAAGCTTTTGTCTTATATTAGCACACCCATAAAAAAATAAGTTTTTGTTGAGACAGATGTCTTGAGGTTTTTCAACAACATTATTTACATTCTATGATATCACACAGGCTCTGTGCTGTCTGATGTCACTGCATATTATATACATACAACTGGCTAGACTTATGTTGACTTATGTTGTGATGTCATGCAACCCATCTTAAAGCACCATCTGTCTGGTCTGTAATCGATGTAGGAACTCAGACTATCTGCGATGTGGTCTTAACAAGAGATTTTAATTAATAAAACTCCTCTAGGTATTGTTCAACATGGAGGGATACTGATTCATCAGCCAGAGAAGACACTACATCATAATCAGCAGGGAGTTTCCTTGCCCATGTTTAACCCCAGGGTAACTTGCTGCTGGCTGTATACCACTTGTTCCGCCACCTCTGCTGGGTCTGTCCTACTGGGGGAACAGGGCATATCCAGGGATGGTGATGGTGGCATTGGGACGTTGCATGTGAGGTATAATTCCGTGAGTATGTCGATATCAGATTGTTGCTTGACTAGTCTGTGAGACAGATCTCCCAATTTTGGGACAACCCCCAGATGTTAGTAATGAGTACTTTGCAGGGTCATTAGGGCTGTTTTGCTGCTGTCATTTCCGCTGCCTAGTTCCACGCCAGGTGGTCTGTCCAGTTTCTTTTTTTTGAGACTTTGTAGCAAATGATATAAATGAGTGGCTTGCCAGGCCATTTCAGAAGGCAGTTGAGAGTCAACCACATTGCTACAGTTTTGGAGGCACATGTATTATTCTTTATTCATACACGGGATAAGGGGGTCACTGGCTAGGCAGCATTTATTGCCCATCCCTAATTGCCCAGAGGGCAGTTAAGAGTCAACCACATTGCTGTGGGTCTGGAGTCACATGTAGGCCAGACCAGGAAAGGAAGGCAGTTTCCTTCCCTAAAGGACATTAGTGAGCCAGATGGGTTTTTCCCAACAATCGTCGCTGGGATTCACAGTAAAATTAGATTCTTAATTCCAGATATTTATTGAATTCAAATTCCACCATCAGCCGTGGCAGGATTCAAACCCAGGTCCCCAGAACATTATCTGGGTCTCTGGATTAACAGTCCAGCGATAATACCACTAGGCCATCATCTCTCCGTGGTAAGAATGGCAGATTTCAGGTAACTAAATTTCAGGATACCAGGTAAGGAAAGCAGATTTCCTTCCTTGAAGGACATTAGTGAGCCAGATGGGTTTTTCCGACAATCACCGATGATTTCATGGTCATCGGCAGATTCTTAATTTTAAATATCTTTTACTGAACTCAAATTCCGTCATCCGCTGTGGCAGGATTCGAACCTAGGTTCCCAGAACATAAGCTACATTTCTGGATTAATACTCTAGCGGTAATACCACTAGCCTCTCTAATTACTCAGTTTTTCTTGTTTCCTGTTTTCTGCACTCCTCACTCCCCCAAGAATAAATTTGCTACTTTCCTATCTGATGGAACTTTTCCATTATTTAGTGGATTTTGGAAAATTAACATCAACGCATTTACTACCTTATTAGGTAGTCTTGAATGTCTAGAATTAAGTCTAAAGACCTGGGATCTGCCCCCAGCTATATCCATTCATCAATATTCCTTCCATGGTGGTTGTAACTTCAAGTTATTTTGTTCCCTCCAACTCTTGATTTGTAGCTACTTTGTATTCTTCATAGTGAAGACAAAGGCAAATATTTGTTTCCTTCATTCACCATTTCCTTTTCTACAAACTCACTCAGGACATCGGTTAGTTTAGTTGGCTAGACAGCTGGTTTGCATGTAAGCTGATGCCAATGGCACAGGTCAAATTCCCTCACCAGCTGAGGTTACCATAAAGGATTCACCTTCTCAACCTCACCTGAGGCATAGTGACCCTTAGGTTAAACCACCAATCATCTCTCTGAGAGAGCTACCCAATGGTCTGGCAACTTTACCTTACTTATGTTTTTCTTTTTTAAATAGCTGTAGAAATTATTTCTATCCATTTTTATATTTCTGGTATCTTACCTTTCATACTCCAATTTCTTTCTTCTGATTAATCTCAATCATTTTCTGGCCTTCTTTACATTCTGTCCAATCACCTTGGCATAATTATGTGCCTTTTCCTCATGCTTGATGCTTCCCTTAACTTATTTAATAAATAACAGATGGTAGGTGCTCCCTCGAAAAATTTTTGTAGAAATAAATTTATTTTATATATATTTGTATAGTTTCATTTTGAATATTCTGAAATAACTCCTTAAATATCTGTCACTGTTTCTTTATTGATCTGAGACAAGTATCCTTGTTCACTTCAGATTTCATGCCCTCACAGGTACCCTTATTTGAAAGCAAAATATTAGTCTTGGATCTAATCTCCTCCTTCAAATTGCATGTAAAATTCGATCATATTTTAGTTGCTGATATCTAGGTGTGCTTTTTACCTGAGCTGGTTAATTGATCCTGTCACATTACAAAATCTATTATAACCTGTTTTCTGCTTGTTACCAGAGCATGCATCCTTTGAGACTATCACAAAAGCCTTATGAGCAGCCAATGTTTCATCCTACACAGTGGTTATTATGATGAGATCTGTAGATCACTCCTATTCCTCAGCTCAACCCAGATTGATTCTGTACCAAAGTCTTCTCTAAATATTTCACCAATGACCTCTTCTGAATATCACACATCCCTCAACATTCAGGATATCCTTATTACTATGCAGGCTCATCTCTGCAATTGTTATTAGATAGTGTTTATTTGCTTCAACATACTTCAACAATCCACTGATGAAAATTAGCAGAACGTGTATTCAGGAATGTTTTAAGGAAATTCCTGGCTTTCTGATGAACTAGATTCATACTACTTTAAAACAAAACCTTGGGACATGGGAAGTATGCAAAGAAATTGCTATTGATACTGATATCAAGGTTGTGGTTGGCTGCCAAATTATTAGATATTGGATTGCCTCATCAGGGACCCCTAACTGAATCTTAGGAGCATATTAGTCTGAAACACCTGATCTCGTAACTTAAGCAGACTCAGGCCTGGTTAATACTTGGAAACCACCTGGGAATACCAGCTGCAATAAGCTGGGCCCTCTTGTGGCACAGTGGTAGTGTCCCTACGCCTGGACCAAGAGCTCTGGGTTCAAGACCCACCTGCTCCAGAGGTGTGTAAAGACATCTCTGACAAATTGGTTAAATAAAAAAAGGTAATATTTAGTTGGTCAGAACAGTGTGTGTTCAAGAAAGTGTGCTACAAATTAATTCTAAAAGGAAAATAGTATCTTTCTTTACTATCAGTATTTTCTTTACCTGGTCATAACATTTAATAAATTATGAGTTGGACACTCAATTACATTTGGACTGGTTTCCAATT